AGCATTTTTGGTTTTCTCGCTGTTTTTCACTTGATTATTGTTGCTGCTGTTGATTTTGTTGCTCTGTAGCACGTGCAACTCTTGCTGCTGTTGCTGCTGCTGCTGCTGCGTTGCCGTTTTGTCCTTGTCCGCCTTCGCCTGTTTGCCATTGACTTTGTTTACCATTTTCACAATGGTAACGTTCTCGTCGTCGTTGTCGTAACACTTGAAACTTTTCTTGCCGTTTTTATTTTTCTTTTCGTGCTTTTTTTGCCGTCTTTTATTCCTTTAATTTATATTGAATTTTAATTGGGATTTTTATTTGTGGGTTTTATAAAGAATTTTTTTTGTGTGTGCTACTGATGCGCTTGCAAATGTGCTTCTGTGCTTGTTCTATGAGCAATTGGCTTTAACGGCGTTTCTGCTTAACAGCTCTGAAGTTATTGTTGCTTCTGCTTCTGCTGTGCGATCTCGCTCTCTCACTCTCTCACCTTTTCTCTTTCGTTTTCACTTGTCGCGATCTCGCTCACTCAAACACTAAGGCGCACACACTGATACGGCACTTGCACTCTCTCACGGGCTTTTTTATTTGCTGCTCTCGTTTGTTGCTGGTGTTTGGTACAGCTTTGTGTTTTCGTTTATTGCCACGTTTGTTGTTGTGCGTTTGTTTTTAATTTTTTTTCCGTTTCGTTTCGTTTCTATTCTGTTTTGTTATTGTTATTAGAATTTTGTGGGTTTTGCCGTTATGGCGTTCTGATCGACGCCGCGATTTTTTATTAAATGAGCTTTCGTTGTACTTTTGAAATATTTATAATCAAAAACAAAATCATAAAATAACTTCTTTTTTTTTTGATTTTGTGGTCGTTCTTTTCGTTTATTTAGTGCATGCAATCTCTTTGAACTGTTTCCTCTTCGATTCCTTGACACATGAAAAACGAAAGAGAACGAAATACATGAAAAATTAGAAACAACCGTGTTATTTTTATATTGCAGATATTAATTGTAGTTTTTTTTTTTTTTTAGTTTTTTTGTTTGTTTATAACGCAAATTATTTCTAAAATAGACATTTCGCATTAACCTTGCTGCTGCTGCTTTTTATCACATTTGTTTTGCAATTGTCTTCTATTTCTTTTATTTTATTTTTTTTTGACTGGAAGGAAGAACACCAAATTGCGCGGTATGTTAGGAGTTGTTGTTGTTTTGTTGTTTGCGCTGTCGTTTTCAATTCCAACGCGCAATTTCTATTACTTTCGCGTCCACCAACACTAACAACAACATAAACAACAACAACATTGCTTGCCATTTTTGGCATTCTTTCGCTCTCCCTCTCTCTGTCTCTCTCTATCCTCATCACAGTGTGATTTATATCTCAGGAGCCCACGATAAGATGATGTAAGTTTCTTTTAATGCAAAGCTGCTGAGCGTATGGATGTATTTTAAAAATTTACGTTTTTGTGGGTGTATGTCTGTTTGTATGTATGCATTTATGTGCGTATCCACAATTGATTTTGTTATGCCAGTGGCAAATAGCTTAATTAGTGTGCCTTCAAGAATTGGGATTATAGCGCCATAAAGTGCAATATTGTTTCAAAATAAGCTTACGAATAACAAATTTTTTTGGGGGCACTTAAATTTGTATTAGTCTAGACTGTAGAATGTTGAGTTTGTATCGTATTTACATACATCTGTATGTATTTAAATAGAACTAATACTCATAGTTTCCGATTTATTTAGAATGAAAACTATAAATATCCAATCGATCAACATTGGATAAGCAGGCATAGGAACGTTGACAAACAAACTACAAATGAGTCAAATAACAAAAATATAAAAAAAAAAAAAACAACTGAAAGAAAGAATAACTCCATTTAGAAATTAAAGGAATTTTAATGCACAATGGAGAAATCTGAGAAAAGCAAAGAACAGAAATCGCTAATTAATTAACTGCACGCTGTTTGAAATAGGTGTAATTAATATTTGATCATAAATTGAATTTAAATCATTATGCTCATACATATTTTAAGTACTTGTTATGTAGATTCGAATGTCAAAAACTAGCAACGAAAACAGGAAAACGAACGAATTTCCGTCAGCGCTCAAGATCCCAAAGAAACTGGCCGAAGGTGATTTGAAAATTAAGCCGGAAATGCCAGAATCCCTATGCAAAGAGAGATACGTGTGAAAATACTAAATGTACACACTTGTTCTACGTATAACAGACAGAGCGAGAGAGAGAGAGAGAGAGAGAGAAATAGAGAGGGGGAAAGTGTATTTTGTTTGGGTGATCGCTTTAGTTGTTGTTTTTTTCATTTATTCGGTTTTTTCTTAGTTACCCGGCAGCACAATTTGCAGAGCTGTCACGTAGACTACAACATAAATAACAAGATCAATATTTTGATAAGCTTCTTGTCGTATTTACCTGGGTGAATTTGTTGGCGACTAAGCTCGTGCTTAATACAAGTTCACAATTTACAAAAACGCGATCTTTGGTCGATTTAACGAAGATTCTTTTACATGATTTGTTTGCTTCGCTTTGCTTTGCTTTGCCTTCTGCTTTCTTATAAAACACACGTCGACAGCGCTGCGAACGAGGGCAGAGGCAGTGAGCAGACAGAACAGAGAGAGAGCACCACGGCCACGACGAGGACACGACGACGACACGACTCTGTCAGCCAAAGGGAGACGGCAGGCACGTAACAAACTAACCGTTAGAATATCTCTTACAAATGCGTGAGAATTGCAGAGGGATAGTCGCAAGACACGATTTTTGTCCGTTGTTACAGTTAATCTCAAGTTATTTGCTTATGGTTACACGATTACAAAGTCTCTGCCGCCAAAATGTATTTGACTATATAGAGCACCCACACACCCACACACAGACAATCGAATTGTTGTTGCACTGTATCAAAATAAATCAGCAACGAGAGAAAGAGGGATGGAGAGTAAGCAAAATGCAACTCGATTCTCAGGTGCAGTCACTTTCTTGAACTGTTCTTTGGCGGCGAGTGTTGGCTGATGGGCGGGGGGCGCGCTGCGGCGGCGATCAAGCTGAAGATGTTTTAGTGGTTTGATTTTTCTATTGTTGCTCAAAATACTAAGTGGACGTGAGCCGACAGCAGTCGCTTTTTTCTACACTACACTACTGACTGACAAATAAAACCCTAATTACTATATTTTAATTTTTTTGTGCCGATTTTCGCTTTTCTGATTTTCCTTTTCACACACACACACAGAGAGACACTCGCGAAGAAACACACAAAACACGTTGTTCGAAAGCTTCGAGAATGTTGTGGGCGGCAAACGGCGCGTTGGCAACTACTAAGTGGGTTTATAATCTAAGAACTTGATTTATCTATATATGTGTATATATATGTCACACACTCACTCAACTTATTTGCTTGCGGCGGCTTTCGACTTTCAATTCGAAATCTGAAATCTCTTCACTTTCAATTGCACACAGCTGCGAGAGGAGAATCTATTGTTTGGCGTGGATCGTTGGTCCAATTATTAGTTTTTTTTTTTCTTTTTGTATATTTGTTTTGCACGAATTCGATATCTTGATGTGGTCTCTATACTTGAGTGTCGAACATGTGACGAGCAACTGATGGCCGCTGCTTAAGCAAAACCGTATGTTTGTTGAAAAATCGCGGCAGCTACGCGTCGCGTATGTCGGCAACGCACAGTGGTCCAAATGCGCATGCCATTGATCGAAATTGAATTTGATAGAATTGTATATGTTTTGTATGGGCGCAAGCCATAAATATTATCCGATATTGTTCACATGTAATAGATTTGTAAACATATAAATTCAAATTCTTTTCAAAAAAAATTTATATATTTTGTCAATAGTCAGTTTGACAGTTTGATGCAGCCTTCGCTTTTCTTTCGATAACACTTGCCTACCTGTCGTATCAGAAAATAGCCAGTCCACTGTGCGACGACAACGATTCTAGAGAGCAAGAAAAACACAACGGAATATAAAAAGTGAGCAGCGAAATGTTCACAAATAACTAAATCGCCGGCGGCATATAGCAACAACATCTATGTATGTTTATACACCCAAAATTTACATAAGCACACCATCATCGTATATATATATGTATTTATATACATATATATAGATATACATATGTGTGTGTGTGTATATACATGTTCATTTAAATATTCAAATTATAATCGTACCAAAATGAACAACAAATAGTCGATTTGAGCGTCGAATAAATGTTCACCTCTCTCGCTCTCGCTCTCACTACTTTGCTCTGCCTCATTTCACAGCACTGGGTCAGCTCATTGTTGTGGCGGGGTTTTCACTTTTAAGCCTAGTTTTGCAAAAAGTTTCTTGTTGCTTCTGACAACTCTGTGCGAAATTTTCAGCAACATAAAGAGATAATGAGAGAAATGGAGAGAGCGAACTTTGAAGATCAGCGCACGCATTTCGTGTAATGTGAAATGTGTTGTCATTGCAAGCGCAAGGCATAAAAAAAAATACCGGCCGGCGTCGGCATTGAAATTAAGTGAGAGAGCGAGAGCGCGAGCGCGCGCTCGTCTAGAGAAAGCGCCGGCCTTGCTTGACAGTGCTGCCATTTGTAATTTCAGTGCTGCCAAACCCTTCATTTTATTTTCATCGTCGCATTTAGTCAATGAGTAATGTTATTCATAACGATTTGCGCTCTTCTATGCAATATCCGCTATACATTGTACACGTGATACTAGCTGAGAATGTGTGTGCATGTGTGTGTGCCTGTGTGGGTGTGAGTGTGTCTGATGTATGAATGCATTTGTACATTGGCATGACATATTTTTGGCTTTGCACATTGCCATTCGACGCCGCAAATAAACAGAAATAAATAAAACATACATATTTAGATTGCCAAATTGAATGCGTAGTAACAAACCACGCGCTAACTACAAATATATATATATATATATATATTTATATATATCGATATGTATTCCTCTTGAGTGAAACACAAGAAGAGTACTTAGAAAAATACAAACAAAAAAAGTTGCAAACACCATTTTTCTATAAAATTTAGCACAAATATACAATTTGATTATGATAAGAATATTGATGCATTAGCGCAAACGCCTTGCATAGATGGCGCCACCGGCGATCAGGCTGGCAAGGAGCGTAAAGGTCATCAGGCGGCCCAGCAGCTTGTCCTGCCACTGGCGATTGGCGATGCACTGGCTGTAGGGCATGCTGCTAAAGGAGACGCTGTTGTACAGCGGCACCCAACGGCGGGGGAACAGCCGGAACAGTGTCGTGTCCAGCCACTTGCGGCAGCGAAAGGACCAACGCTTGGTCAAATCACGCATCTGCAATAAATCAAAGCAACGTTGTTTATTATGAAAATCAAATAAACAAAAAAAACCAAAGATAAAGCCACTAAGACGATTAGATTTCAAAAGTTATTATGGTAACTTAAAATTTTAATCTTAACTCATTATATAGTATTTTTCTGGATTTTAAGTGCATTGCTTTTAAATTAAATAAATTAATAAACATTGGATCAGAGTTAAGAAATCTTTGACCTCATCAAGTGCATATATTTTCTTGATCAGCAGCTCTGTCGAAATTATTGTCAAATTTAATGAATGCAAATCGATTTTTTAAACAATTTGTTGTTGACAATTATTATGTTGGTCGACACTATTTTTATTGTTTTTTAATCAAATCAATAATCATTAGGTGGATCAAAGTTCCCAAAAATAAATGAACCGAAAGATACTTAATGGCTTCAAAAATTCGAGCTAATACGACTCTAGTTTCGGAATACAGAATCTAACCATAAAATTAAATAGAAAATTCACTTAAAATAAAACTGTATTCAAAAAGTCGTTTAAAACGAACAGGAAATGTTTATCGAAACCAGATCTACTTTTTGGGCATTGCCAATTAATTGGAGCTGACTTGAAGCCGTACTCACCTCCACATAGTTGTACATGGCCAGATCGCAGATGGCGTAGGCGTCACGCCAGCGCGACTCCGTGAACTGAGCGAGTGCCACATCCAGTGGCAGCTGCTGGCTGAGTATCGAGCTGAGCAGCGTCAGATCCTCCATGCCGGCGTTCATGCCCTGGCCATAATATGGCACCATGGCGTGTGCAGCATCGCCCAGGATCAGTGCCTTGTCGGCAAAATGATACGGCTTGCATTTGACGGACAGCAAATGCTGTGGCCGTGTCTTGAAGAAGTCCTTGATGAGCTGCTGCTCGCCAATGAGCGGCAGTGCGTCCACATAGTGCTGACGAAAGAAGTCCAACAGCTGCTGGTGCGTCTTCAGCTCGGCAAACAGTTCAAAGGGCATGGAGAGCGTGACCGTAAATGACTTGTCCTGATTGGGCAGGGCAATCATCATGAACGAATCCCTTGGCCAAATGTGCAGATAATTGGGCGGCATCTGAAACTCGCCATCCTTGGCGGGAATACATAACTCCAGATAGCCGGTGCTGATGTACTCCTGCGAGTAGTTGAAGCCCGGAGTGCGGACAAGCTGCTGACGCAGCGTACTAAAGGCGCCATCACAGCCGACAATCAAATCGGCGCTGGCCGAGATTAGCTGCGGCTCGTTGGGCCGCCGGAACTGCATTTGGCCCTCGGCAATGTTGGCCGTGGCCAGTTTGTGCTCAAAGTGGCAGCTGATGTTGGGGAATGCATCGCAGGCATTCAGCAGCAGCTCGTTCAGCTGCTTGCGACCCACCGAGTAGAGGCACTGCTTGGTGCACGGATCATACAACACGATGCTGGTGCGTCCGCGCACATTGTGCAACATTCGGCCACGCATCGGTATCGCTGTCGCCAGCACCTTCTCCTCGAGCCCAACCGCGGCGAGTGCCTTGCGACCCCGCTGCGACAGCGCCAAATTGATGCTGCGTCCTTGGACCAACTCCGCCTTCCGTATATCCTCGCGATACTCGTACAGATCGACCTCATTGCCCATCTGTGCAAAGTTCAGGGCGGCCAAGGAGCCAACCTACAAATCCATTTGAAGGATATAATAATTTAAGTAGTATATATATACTTGATCAGATAAAATAAACTCTACGATATAGACATGTCCATCTGTTCGTCTATTTCTTAGCCTAACTAATCCATCAGTTTTTAAGTTATCTTGATGAAACCTGAAGTCGATTCATTATTTTGTTGTTTATATATATAATATTTACTAGTTTTCTTTATTCAACTACTTTTCAAGTTCTTCTAATTTGCGATTTTGTAGGACTAAAATAGCATTATTTCATTTCGTTTTATTATTTCTTTTAGCGTATAGCGCCGAGCTCTTTTTGTTCTAGTTCTTTTCTGTTTTTTGATGTAAATGATAATTCTCGCAATAAGACGTCTTTTGTTTGACATATCTTTATATTCATATATGATTGCCACACATTCTCATTTTTGGGCAATTTAATCCCACGGGCTTGAAGTAGATGCTCAGCTACGCTGATAAGAGCTAATAAATACTTACCAGACCGGCACCTACAATGGCCACCTTGCGTCTGGGGGCGGCTGCGACTCCATTGCTATCTGAGTAGGTATAGCTGATGCTCTGTGACATGATTTTGGGTTCGTCTTTGTGTTGGAAGACTTGGATTGGAGTTCTTATGACCGTTCGCTTGGGGTGTCGCACGGGTAATGAGACTCAGTTGCAGCAACGTAGTTACCAGGTCTTTGTTATTATGATAAAAATACGTGAAGGCAGTAAATGCTATCTCACCGACAGTACACTCTACTAAATACGAGTTCCACACTGATGGCGGGGAAGCTCTATAACTGCAGCCGCAATTCCCGTCAGTGGGGCAACTGCCGCAGACTGCGAGCAGCGTTTTCACTTTCAATTGCACGCGGAACAGTTATCAAAGGGCAATCCAATTTGCAAAGACATGATAGTCATAATGTCGAGCTAACACCTCTTGTTCACATTATCTTAAGATACTATTACAAACTTATACTATGGGTAGGTCAATAATTCAATACGTGTTTTTGCCCAGCTTACCATTTTGTTACAGAGAAAAATCAATAAAAGTGTTCAAAGAGAAATCACACATCTAAAATTCAATCTATTCCGGTCTTTGTATTCAATTTTATTGGGACATGCATAAGGAATCAAAACAGAAGAGAAGATACAGTAATACATGCATTATGCATTGTTACTGATTCACGTTTTCGTTGATTACTCTGAATTGGTGTCAGTAGTTTATTTACTATAAGTAAACCATGAATAATTTTAATGTTGGCGCCGAAACTCAAAATGAAAATCAAAAAGCCGTTGCAAAAACGAGCACAGATGCCTTGCAAATAAATCGATTGCAGTTTCGATTCTCTGTTATCGATGCCAATTGAGAGAGCGTTTGCAGCTCTGTAAGCTCTGATTTGCGAACGTACTGCTCTTCTTGCGTTATCATCCAAAATAACTGCACACTTTAATACTTTGAAAGTGCAATGAGTAGAATTACGGCATAAATATAGCAGAAAAGCTAATCTACAACAAAAAACATTTCAATTTAAATTGGCCGCCTAGAAGCATGCGTGCGTACGTAAGAATTTGCATATTTGGTCACACCGATTTTCGAACAGCTGACTTCTTGTGCGCGATACCTGTGAATAGTCCGACGCCATTGTGTACAAAAGTGTGTCGCTGTCGCAGTCGCCAAAAGAAAAAGTCAAATTCTTTTATAAATTGCCAAGAAAAAGATCGACGTTAGTGTTTATACATTTATAGCTTCCAAGGAAATCGACCACAAAAGGCCAAACACAAAATGGTAATAAATTGCGTGAGCACGTACGAAACGAACTTAATTTTAGAAAAATGCTGCGCGAAAAATACGCAACTTTTATAGGCTTTTGGCTACATACATTCGAGAAGCTTTTTCTAAACGAATGCTGCTGCTGCTTTTGTTTGTATTTAAAAACGTACTAATTTGGCAACATCTTTACTTATTAATTGCAGGGAAATGAAACGTCGCTGCCAATGGAAATGTGCTCGAATTGTAAGTAAATTTCCCACTGTCAATGCCATTTTTGAATGGAATTTGGCCAGGCGCTGCTGCTCATAAATATGCATATTAAAACACGTTGCTATATTTGAATAATTTTGTGTCGACAAAATGAACGCCTGCACCGAAATATCTTGCGTTTCCAACATTTCCAACTGCATTTGCACATTTAAATACATACATACATACAGTTATTTGGCTAACTTAATGTTTGCACAGAGCAAGCAGCAGCTTTACGGGCAATTTATTTGCCAATTGAATACGAATTATGCTGAAATGACACTTGTTAGTTAACAGTTGCGTGCTGTCATTGAAATGTGTAAATGACACTTGTTAGTAATGCTGCCCGATTTGCCAGAGCGAGACAACAACACTGCCAAATTTGTAAATATAAAGCTTTTATTAGTGGTTTGTTTACAGTTCACGGAACTAGTTCCATATGCGTGTGTTTTAAAGTTGAAAAATAAAAGTGTAATTTTAATCCAAAAAGAAAGGAGCGCATGTCAAATGCAAATTAGCTTTCAGCCTCTCTTGTCGATCTAGGTGAATATCAATAACATTTTCTTTGTCATCTCAGTTCGGGGGATGGTCTAAAAATAAAGCGGTCACATTATTGTATAGGCAGCCACTGCCAGAGGCACAGCCGCAGCCACACAGGGCGCACACTCACACGTGCAACTCGAATAATTAGCTTATGAAATCACCTTATGTGTGCTCGAGACTCGAGCAAACAGCAGACAGCAAAGAGCAGCAGCAGCAGCAGCAGCAACAACAAAATCAAAACAAAAGCAAAAACTAATCAACTTTTATATCTATCGCAAACACGCACACACAGTCGATGCGGATGAAATACGTCGGCTGGGCAAACGTTTCCGGAAACTGGATCTGGACAATTCGGGTGCACTGAGTGTGGATGAGTTTATGTCGCTGCCGGAATTGCAACAGAATCCGCTCGTGCAGCGTGTCATCGACATTTTCGATGCGGATGGCAACGGTGAGGTGGACTTCAAGGAGTTCATTCAGGGTGTCTCCCAGTTCAGTGTTAAAGGTGATAAATTGTCAAAATTGCGGTTCGCATTTCGCATCTATGATATGGACAATGATGGCTACATTTCCAATGGCGAACTGTTTCAGGTGCGTTCGACAACAAACCAAATGCGTTTCAAATAAATCAGATATTAAATTGTTATTTGTAACAGGTCTTAAAAATGATGGTGGGCAACAATTTGAAAGACACGCAACTGCAACAGATTGTGGACAAGACAATCGGTTTCGCGGACAAGGATGAGGATGGCAAAATATCATTCGACGAGTTCTGTTCGGTTGTTGGCAATACGGATATACACAAGAAGATGGTTGTTGATGTTTAAGGCTAGCTAGCTAGCTAGCTGTGCGTTGATCCGCGATGATGGCAACTGCTGATGCTGCATATAGGTTTACGAGTAACGTGTACTTTTTTTTATATATATATGCGTAATGCAAATATTTTTCACTAGTTACTATTTATTTTTTTTTTATATATATTACTTTTATTTTCATATGTATATTATTTGTTTTCTCTCTTTATTTTGTATTTAATTGTTTTGTTTTGTTTTATTTTGTTTTTTTTTACATATTGTTATCAAGCTGTGCGTTCAGAACGAGTAACGAAATATTTACACAGCTGTCAGTGAGCCAATTTCAATCACTCGCTTTAACGATCCTACGAAATAATATATATATCATATTTTCTAAAAGAAAAACAAAAAACAAAAAAAGCAACACACAATTTTTTAAAAGTTGTATCTCTAAGTCGTAAAGTAAAGTACTGAAAGGGAAACACGAACACAACAACAACAACAACAAAACACAAAATTCGCTGGATACACCATATACATATGTATATTACTATATACATATTTGTATATATTTACATATATAGGCAAGAGAGAAAATAATGAAAATTGTGCGCCTCCTACTTACATACTTCTTAAAATATATAGTCATAATTTATTATACAACAAAATATACACGTAACGAATTGAATTGAATTGAATCAAAGCAAAAACAACATTACAAATTGAAGAGATGAGAAGAGAAGTGAAGCGAAGAATAAGCAAATAAAGCAACAAGTTGAGCGTTTTTAATCAACAAATTTTGAATGCACTTTTCAATTCGGATTAAATGCAATCTTATAATCAAACGAGAGGCCCAACACCAGTTTAAATGCAAACGCGTTGGCAAAGCACAAAAACAGTGTTCATAAGCTTTAAACTATAATATCTAATTTAAACTATTTCTGTGTGTGTGTGTCTGAGTGTGCATTAGTGTGTGTGTGATTGTACGAATGTGTGTATCTGTGTGTATGTTTCTTGTGGTATGCTATGCTATTAAGATATCGGTTAACAATCTTTTCCCTCTTAAATCCTGACTTTTTGTATGTCTCATTTTGTTAATTACTTCTAATTCTCCTGTGATTTGGCCAAAAACGAAATCTATACAAGTGTGCATGAAGATAACAAAAAAACAATGAACTCTGCTAGCCTCTTATATATATATACATCTATATATATATATATATATATATAATATATACACACTATATACTATATTATATATTCATCTACTCTTTATAAAACTCAATTTTATGGAGATTTTAATACACACAACAACACGAAAGAAAAAAAACTGTGCTATGTTCTTAACTCTTTTTTACTAATAAAACAAATTGTTTAATATGAAATTATTAAGGGAAACAACAAATATGATATGATATATAATAATAATAACACATTTTCTCAATTATAATATATATATATAAATATATCTATAGTTAATATGTATATGAATATTGCATACATACTTACAACTAATTCTAATCAAGTTAACTTAGTAATTACATCAAATCAATATACGACAAAATCGAATAATTTATACATATGACGGTTGATTAACAAGTTTTATACTTAACTTATATAAAAAAAAAACTACAAAAAAAACCAAAAGAAAAAAAAAACAACTAGTTAAAAGAATTACTGATATGCATGTTACAAATTTTACAATTAGCAAATTTTTTGCACAATCGCCATTCAATTTGTTAGCTAATCCTAATCAATTTTTTAAATAACAAACGTTTATAACGAATGCAATTTGTAAGTCAGCCAAAGATACGAAATGCTCTTTAGCACAGCTGCAACAAAAACAACAAGAACAACAACAACAAGTCTTAAAGGGAAACTCAGTTAGGCGGCTCGTTGAAGCAATAAATAAATATATTATATATATACTACTAAACGCGTCAAGTTTAACATTTTATTTATGCTCTATGTTTAATGTATTTGTTCTTTATTCAACATTCATCTGCCTGGCGTCCTCTAGCGGCGGCAGACGCAAATTGCCTTGTTATTGCAATAGCCGCCCTTGAAGCGCTTGGCGAGACAATGGGCAGCACAGGCTGTGTGATTCACATTCCATTTGCTCAACAGATCGCAGGTGGCACGCTTTTGACGTGAATGCAACTCGGGCTCAGCTGCTTCTGCCACTCCCACCTCCTGGACCTCTGCTAGGGGCTGATCCTGCTCCACGAGCTGCTCCTCGGCCACAGGATGTGCCTGGCTTGAGTAGACCACTAGCACCAGTAGACTGAAGCACACGATAAACTTCATTGTAGTTGTGATTGGTTGGGATACTGTTTCGGAAATGATGATGCTACACCGTGTTGCACACGATATTTATAGAGCCAAGGTGTGTCTTTGTTTTTATTCTGTCCACTTAAGTGATTCCCGATGGGGAAGTTTACTAAGAATTTTCGCCATGCCTGAGCACAACTTGGGAACTTGGGAGGGGGATTTTTGCGAAACGTGCTCGACTGATAAGCAGCAAGTCGCAAGAATATGACAATAGATTGCCAAAATCTGTACTGACAATTATTCGTTGCGTTATATATGGCTATATATATTCACTTTCATAAGATGCTGACAAACTTAAACAGTAATATTTATTCTAAATTCAAATGTAAATATATATGTGCTAATATAAATGATATGAGTTAACCGAAACAAATACAGTAATACAAATAGGATAATCGGGCTAGACGCATTTGCAATGTCAAAATAATGTCATAGGTAGGATGAGCGTAATTGTAGATAGTTGAAGGTAAGAGATTTCAATAAAACTGCCCAAGCATTGCGGCAACTATCAATTTTATTATTGTGTGAGGTTGTGGCTTGGTTTAAGTACATTTAATAAGTTTGTATTCTTTAGCTACATTAAATCGTATTATGCTAAAAATGTTCAAACACAATTTGAATATGGCGCCAATAACTCCCAAATATTCAAAGTTGTCGCGAATCATGCAAAATATTACAATGTTGCCAACAGTGTTTTGGCAGCCCAGTTCGTAATGAGCTTACGTTGATCCTACAGCAATTGGCGCCAAGAGTTTGAATTAAAGTACTCGCTCACAAGTACTCATACCTATAACGAGTCAAATGCGAATTTCACCACTTTGCAGTATCGGTTTTCGCCAGCCCTGGCAATTATCAGCACAAAAGAAGTAAACAACTCAGTTTAAATAAAGTTGCTGCTGAGTTTTGAATGCATTTCTAATATTCTCCTGAGTTCGAAATCATCAAAAATGTCCAGCATTGATGGCATTTATTCCTTGCGGCTGGTTGTTGTGGATTTCTATATGGAGAAGCCGGTATTTGGTCTGGATCCCTGCTACTCGGAGTTGCGCGGCAAGGAAATCAAACGTGTAATTAACATAAATAATATTAATATTAATAATATAATAATATCTCAGGTAATTTTCATTGAAAGGTGCCCATTGTGCGGATATTTGGGGCCAATGCCAAAGGCCAAAAGAGCTGCATGCATGTGCACGGAGTGTTCCCCTACTTTTACATACCCTACGATAAAAGGGACTTTGAATCCGTGGAACGAGGAATATTGCAAATAGCGATGCATCTGGACAAGGCCATCAATATATCTTTGGGCCAGGGCAGCTCCAATGCGCAGCATGTCTTCAAAATACAATTGGTGAAAGGCATGTGAGTATGTTGCAGCCTATCCTCAAAAGCAATAATTGTAATCCTTTCCCGTATTTAGACCATTCTATGGCTACCATCGTGGCGAGCATCAGTTTTTTAAGATTTACATGTTCAATCCTCGATTTGTTCGGCGTGCAGCCAATTTGCTGCAAAGCGGCGCCATACTCAGCAGGAATTTCAATCCACACGAGTCGCATGTGCCGTACATTCTGCAGTTTATGATCGATTACAATCTGTATGGCATGAGCTATCTGCATGTGCCGCTCGAGATTGTCAAGTTTCGCAGGCATACAGATGAGGATGGTACATATACGATCTTTCACTCTGCATGCGGATTCATCCGTTTCACTGCTCTCTTTCAGCTGTGCCCTATGCGGATGTTCAACCGCAACAGCTGCTGGACACATCGATTGTTAAGAAGATGGCCTGCAGCGCCTTGGAACTGGATATTAATTCAAATTTCATACTGAATCGCTTTCAATTGGTCACCAAGAGCAACGCAACACATTCAAATCCGGGCATTGAGGCCATTTGGCATGATGAGCATGTGCGGCGCCAGAAATTGGCTCAAAGCCTTGCTGCTGATAGTCAGAGTTTAAATGAGGTAACTGCTGAAATACAACTCCAGCTATTCATAATTAATTGCAATATATTTCTTATTCAGCTGCCGGTGCTGCAAGTGCCGCCCACTCAGGAGCGACCCAATGTGGAAATAGCTGAGAGCGATAGTTTTTATCGAGCGGCGCTGGAAAGCAAGCTGCTCACCTTGGAGCAGACATTGAGCACGGATCAAACGATCTCGGATCAGACACAGATTAGCAATGAGAGCCATGCAAACGTGACGCTGCAAACGAGCGCCAAGGAGCAGCGTCGAAAATTCAATCTGCAAAAGCTGCTGGTCAACTGCGTGTATCCCGAGGAATGCAGCCCGGAGGCACAGCAGCAGCTGATGAACGCCTCTGTCATCCAAAATCACCTGTCTGGCAGCGGCAGCCTGCAGAGCGTCGTACAGCAGCAGAGTGCCTCAAATGATGAGGCTGCCTTTTTGGATGATACGCTCATCGATGAGCAGCTCATACAATCTCAGGGTCCAGTGCCACATGATGCCACCTGTGAGTTGATGTTGCTTCCTTTTCTTTTTTAATAGTTAAAGCAAGTTTACAAGGAATATTTAAACAGTGCGCGAGGAGGATTTAGAACTGCTCGATGTGCTGCAACAGCTGGAGGAGCAGAATGCAAATGAACCACTCATCGATTTAGACAGTTCGCTGGCGCAACTCTCGCAGCAGCATAAGCAGTGTAAGGTCTTTAAAACAAATACTTAATTGCTTAAATAAATAATGGACTCCTCTTTGCTTTTAGTTGAACTAACGCCTGAGTTGCTGGACAAGCAGACAGCCGCCGCAGCCGCACAGCAGCCGATCTCTGATGGCGAAAGCGACAATTCGGATGAGGAGACGGCCGCTGGCAATCTGCTTGACTTCTCTGTGGCACTCGATGACATTGACGAGCTGCTGCTCAAGCTTACCCAGAGTCAGCCCAAGCCGGCTGCCGAGCCCAGTCAGCAACTGCAACTGCCGCAAATGGATGGCGCCGATGATCAGCAACTGCAGCGCACACCCACCAAACTGAGACCCAAAGTGCAACGCAGTCCGCCACGCACACCCACCACGCCCAGGAGTCGCATAAGCATGCAGCAGCCACGCACGCCCAAGTCCAAGAGTGCGGCCAAGAAATATGCACCGCTGCCGCTCACCATCACCAGCAAATCGGCGCAGAGTAAGTTGCACTTGCAGTATTGGGAGTAAAGTCTTAATTCTAACTTTTAATGTTACAGAGAATGTAGAAGTAGCAGCACCAACAGTTGCAGTGTCAGCGGGTAGCAGCGTAAAGACACGGCTCAGTCAGCAGCTGGAAACCGGCGTCAGAAGGTTGTTTCATATACTCAATAAATCTAAGCTGTTCCTCATAATCATGTCCTTTCTTCAAGCAGTCCAGCGTTAACGTTGCGCAAGAAGCTGGCCATAACGGAGTTGCGTCGCAAAACCATCTCGGCACCGCCAACCACTCGGGAGACTAAAGTAGCACAGCAGTCGGATGAAGCGTAGGTCCATCAAATCGTCAACTTCTACCTTACTTATTTACTTCTAATTTGTTTAGTACGCCCCTAAGGCGCAGCAGTCGAAATCGGGCGAGAGATTTGGATAAAACACACATCGTTTGCTCCCTAACACCTCGACAGAAGAATGCGCGGATTTCGGATATCTTTACAGTAACGGCAGAAAGCACGGCAAGCACAGCTGCGACTTCTTCAGAGTCCAAGAAGCCACGACGCAGTGCTCGAAATAGGACCAGACTGGTTATGGAGGAGGTGCCAACTCAAGCAGATCCTTGCCTGGAAGTCCATCAACAGAATTCACCTGCCACTGCAACCAGCGATGATGAGGCAATCGTGTCGGATACGGAAAGTGATAGAAGTGTGCTCAAGCTGCGTAAAACACCAAATTTGAGACGTTTGCGAAGCAGCTTTCGCGAATCAGTGTTGGCCAAAAGAGCGACGCCGACCAGCGAGAAGCTAACAAGTCCAATGACAGAGAGAAAAATAATTGACAGTACAGTGATGCAGACTCCAGCGAGTAATGTGAAAGAGTGTTTAACTAGGGAAACTCCTAGGAGTAAAAGAGCAGTGAGTGCTGCGACTAAAACTCCAACGAGTAAGACTGCAGGGAGTCTGTTAAGTGAAACTTCAGCGAGTGAAAGAGTGATGAGTGCTGCTAATCAAACTCCAGCGAGTAGTGTGAAAGAGAGTCTCACAGCTCAAACTCCAGCGAGTAATGTGAAAAAAAGTCTCACAGCTCGAACTCCAGCGATTAATGTGAAAGAGAGCTTATCAAGCGAAACTCTAACAAGTAAAAGAGCAGTGAATGCTACGAATCAAACTCCAGCGAGTAATGTAAAGGCGAGTCCATCCAGCCAAACTCCAGCGAGTAATGTAAAAAAGACTACATGCAGTCAAACTCCAACGAGCAAAAGAGTGGTGAGTCTACCAAGTCAAACTCCAGCGTATAATGCAAAAGATAGTGTAACGAATCAAGCTCCAGCGAGTGAAACACCGACGAGTCTATTTCGTCCAATGAAGCAGACTCAAACCGAGTGTGCAAATGAAGCAAGTGACTCGCCACAATGTAGTCCACTGAGTAGTGCGAGTAATACACCGGAACTAATGAAGAGTTTCTATGAGCACTCGCTGGTTATTAACAGTCCGTCCGTATTCAGCGATGATTTGTCCAGTCCTCAGCTACCCGCCCAGTCCAAAATAGTTTCCAAGCCGTGCGCCAGTTCAAGCAGGTCCGGCGATCCCAATGTGATTGTGATAGCACCGCTAGAACTACCGCCCAGCTATGAGGAGGTGCTGCATAGCTGTCACAAACTGGACATACCCGAGCATGTGTTCCAGCAGCCCTTCTACAGCAATCCGGCGGATGTCAGCAAAATGACGGAGGTTGGCTTTCTGGTGCTTCGCATACCGGGCAATAAGCTAAGCGATCTGGAGGCCTTCCAAAGCAGCGTCCTGGACAGCAAACGCGGTCTGGCCGCCTGGCGGCGCAGGCAGTTAGTTGGCATTGGCGGAGCGGCCATGTTGCAACGCTATCGCAGCGAGGAACAGTTGCGAACGTACTTCAGCACCGAGCAGCGTCTGGTGATTGAGCCGGCAATGAGTCCGCCGACCAAACAGGATGCCAAAATCTGGCTAAAGGCCAGACAGCTGCTCAAGGATGAAAAGGAGCGCGTGCTGACCACTGATGTGGATAGTCCCATTAAAATAAAGCGCCAAAAGATAACCATGATGCTGAACGAAGACGACTGCGTTGCAAGTGGTGAGGAAGATTTGGAGCTCAGCTGCAGTGGATTAACCCTAACGCCCATGACGCCGCAGCTCACTGGATCGGTCAAGCAGCTGGCCAAAGGTACGCCGCTCAGCAGCAAGGGAAGGAGTAGCAGACGCGGCACCAAGCTGCAGTTTCAGGCAGCGCAGGACGAGGCACCGGTTAGCAGTCAGTCGAGTGAACAGAGTGTCGCCAGCAGCGCCGCTCTGGATGCACTCGAGCGCAGCTCGTTTGTGCGCCAGCTGGAGAGCGTCAGCAGCAACGGACGCAACAGTAACGAGCTCAGCTTTGGCCTGAGTCATGCCACGCTGGACAACACCTTCGGCTTCAAGGTCAATCTGGAGAATCTGCAGCAGGCCAAGGCGGACATTGAGGTGAGTTGGAGCCAGCCGGAGAATTGCAGGCCAATGTGTCAAGTCTTCTCATTTGCAGTGCAACTATTTGACCACCATGACGCTGGAGGTGTTTGTGCCGACGCGCGAGGAACTGCAGCCGGATCCGCTGCACGACGAGATACGCTGCCTGTTCTATGCCATCGAGCACAGTGTGCCGACGAGTGCAGATGCAGTGGAGTCCCTGCCCAGCAAGTCCTGCGGTTATATTATCGTCAACGATGCACAGGATTTGCTTGCCGAGGGACGCCATCATGGCCTGGATGCGGATATTCAAGTGCAGGTCGTACAGAGCGAGGCACAGGCTTTCGAGGCGCTACTGGCACTCTGCGCGCGCTGGGATGCAGATATCTATGCTGGCTATGAGATCGAAATGAGCTCCTGGGGCTACATCATCGAGCGCGCCAAGCATCTGTGCTTCAACATTGCACCACTGCTGTCGCGGGTGCCGACGCAAAAGGTGCGCGACTTTGTCGACGAGGATCGCGAACAGTTCACCGACCTGGATGTGGAGATGAAGCTGTGCGGCCGCATTCTGCTCGACGTGTGGCGTCTCATGCGCTCCGAAATTGCGCTCACCTCGTACACCTTCGAGAATGTCATATATCACATTCTGCACAAGCGTTGTCCCTGGCACAGTGCACGCTCCCTGAGCGACTGGTTCGCCTCGCCCTGCACACGCTGGATTGTGCTGGAGTACTACCTGGAACGTGTGCGCGGCACATTGGCGCTGCTCGATCAGTTGGATCTGTTGGGACGCACTAGTGAGATGGCCAAACTGATTGGCATTCAATTCTACGAGGTGCTCTCCCGTGGCTCACAGTTTCGCGTCGAGAGCATGATGCTGCGGTGGGTGGAAAAGCGATCCATAAATATTCTATTTTATATGTGTTTGTCCCAATCTTTGCCCACAGCATTGCGAAGCCAAGGAACCTGGTCCCATTGTCGCCCAGCGTGCAGCAACGTGCTCATATGCGTGCACCGGAATATCTGGCGCTCATCATGGAGCCGGAGTCACGTTTCTATGCAGATCCCTTGATCGTGCTAGACTTTCAGAGCCTGTACCCCAGCATGATTATCGGCTACAACTATTGTTTCTCCACGTGCCTGGGTCGTGTGGAGCATCTGGGCAGCAGTGGCACCTTCGAGTTCGGTGCCTCCCAGTTGCGCGTCTCGCGCCAGTTGCTCCAACAGCTGCTGGAACGTAATCTGGTGACGGTGTCACCTTGCGGCGTTGTCTTCGTCAAGCGCGAGGTGCGCGAGGGCATTTTGCCGCGCATGCTGACCGAGATCCTGGACACGCGACAAATGGTAAAGCAGTCGATGAAGCTGCATCGAGACAACTCGGCGCTGCAGCGTGTGCTGCACTCGCGCCAACTGGGCCTGAAGCTGATGGCGAATGTGACGTATGGCTATACGGCGGCCAATTTCAGTGGTCGCATGCCCGCCGTCGAGGTGGGCGACTCGGTGGTGTCAAAGGGCCGGGAGACGCTGGAGCGCGCCATCAAGCTAGTGGAGCGCAACGAGAAGTGGAAGGTGCGCGTCGTCTACGGCGACACGGACTCCATGTTTGTCCTGGTGCCGGGTCGCAGTCGTGCGGAAGCCTTTCGCATTGGCGAGGAAATCGTACAGGCTGTCACCGAACTGAATCCGCATCCGGTCAAACTGAAGCTGGAGAAGGTGTATCAGCCGTGCATGCTGCAGACCAAAAAGCGCTACGTCGGCTACATGTACGAGACGGCCGACCAGCAGCAGCCCGTCTACGAGGCCAAGGGCATTGAGACGGTGCGCCGTGACGGTTGCCCGGCGGTGGCCAAAATGCTCGAGAAGGTGCTGCGGCTGCTCTTCGAAACGGCCGACGTTAGCCAGATCAAGCAGTATGTGTGCAGGCAATTCACCAAGCTGCTCTCTGGACGCGCCAATCTGCAGGATCTGATATTCGCCAAGGAGTTTCGTGGCCTCAACGGTTACAAGCCCACCGCCTGTGTGCCGGCACTTGAGATGACGCGGTGAGTGCAAACAAGACAATTTGGGGACTTTAATTCGAATTACAAAATGTATTTATTCCGCAGCAAATGGATGCAAAAGGATCCGAGACGTGTGCCGCGTCGCGGCGAGCGTGTGCCCTTTTGCATAGTAAATGGTCCGCCTGGAATGCAGCTAATCCGTCTGGTGCGCAGTCCCCATGAGCTGTTGGGCAACGAGGGCTACAAGGTGAATGCCATTTACTACATAACCAAGGCCATTATACCGCCCCTGAATCGCTGCCTGCTCCTCATTGGCGCCGATGTGAATGATTGGTAAGCAACTGGCTTAGCTAGATGGAAGGCAATCTTTAATCTCTTTCAACTGTCGCCAGGTTTAGCAATTTGCCGCGCAAGCTGCTGATAACACCGGCACTGTCCACAGCTGGTGAGCTTATGAATCGTGGCAGCGCCAAGTCCACAATCTCGCAATATTTTTCCACGACCAATTGCATCATTGAGTGTGGTCGCCAGACCAAGGCGGGCATCTGCACGGATTGTGCCAGCAACGCCAGCAAATGTGTGGTTACCCTGCAGGCCAAGTTGGCACAGCTGGAACGAGGCTATTGGCTGACCCAGAAGATATGCCAGGCCTGCTGTGGCCGGCTGGGTGAACTGCAATGCGGCTCCTTGGATTGCCCTGTGCTGTACGTGCTGGAAGTAAAACGGCGGGATATGCAGCAAATGCCCCACATACGCAAACAGCTCGAGGAGCGTTTCTGAGAATATATCAGTATATCCATACATATATATATTGTATATTCAACTTTAGGTTTACTAAAAAAGTTAAAATACTACACGTACATTCATTGTCGGCAGCCAGTTCAATGTGTAAATAGCTTACATACTAAGTATGCATCATATTTGTTTTACGTGATTATATGCATTGTTAACTATTGATATTTTTTGTTAGTTGACATTTGTAGTTTTCCATTGTTTAAATCAACTTTATGATGAGAGAATCGTTTTCGCATTAAATGTATATATATATATATTTCTATATGTTCTGCATGTGGGTGTGTTTGTGTATATAATATTCAAATGGAAATGCAAATTTAAAACTAAATTAGTAAATTACAAACGTTGAAATTTAACAACTCTCCAATGAGTTTAACCAAATTAAATAACAATTAGATGTATGTATGTGTGAATATATATATAACCATGTACATAAGTAGAGTTTTTAGTTCTCGATTTTTGATTTTGATGTGGTGTTTTGCCCTGATTTATCATTTATTCATTATCAAATCAGTTATTACTATATACTATGTATGCATGTATCTAAACAATTTATAATTGTATATGGTTATTAAATTGAGCGCGTGTTTGCTGCTTATAAACAACAACACTTACCGATTACAACTAAAAACATTTCTTGTTCAAAATAAAAAATAAAGTTCAGTACAATAATAGTTTCAAAAATTCTTTGACAACCTGCAGGAGAGCAGTAGATGTCCACTACACTTGTTTGTTTTACGACTCTTACATATCCTCATCATCATCATCATCCATTTCGAAGATCATGGCATTTTTAGCATCAGCCTCATTGCGTTTAGTATCCTCTTCGTTGTTGTGATTATTGTTGTTGGTCAAGTCCAGACCACTGTCGTGCAGCGACTGGTTCTTGTTATTCTTGCTATAACTACGATTATTGTTGTTTTGTGGCTGCTTGAAATACTGTGCATTGGCAGCGGTCTGTGTGGAGAGAGTAAGCCGAAACAAGTAATTAGAAATTGTAAGGAAACTTAAATATAGTAAGTATATAGTCTATCTCAATATATAGCTCTATATATTCCTATCCTAACATTTTATGTCAAGTAACTTGTACAAACATTTGTGGGCTACATCAAAAGCAATGCAAAGCTAAAAGTTTTTTATCACTCAATGACAAGTTGATTTGCATATATTTCACACAAATTGCAATAAAGCCCAAGCATCAAAACAATTGTTATCACTTGCCTGGTTGACCTTCACAGAACGTAGTTTTTCGCTAAACGAACTTAAATCGCAGTAGCACAGCGATAGCGACATACCAGAATAAAGTAGTTAGTTATTTGCATTAGTTTCGAGCTAATTCGCAATTTACGTGCACTAATCAACCAGGGCTAGGGAAATGCATACAATAGAATCTAACACGATGCCTATGCAAAGATAAATTGGTATTTAACACTCTACTTAATAATCAATATTTGCGTCTACAAATTTAATTAGCTTCATTTAGCGAATTAACACAAATTGATGGGCGAAAGTTCAGGAAATCATCTCAAGTCATAAATTCACCTTGTTGGCAGTCTGCTGCCCGTTGGAGGCGTGCTCCACCTCCTCGTAGTCGACGGAGTCGCCCTCGCTGACGCGACGCTGTTGAGCGCGCAATTTGCAATCGCGACGCTTCTGATTCTTCTTACGCTGGCCCAGAATGCTCGAGTCGAGTCTAAAAATAGAGATGCGAGAATTTGATTAAGCAACCAATTGAGATTTGCGTTCTATTTTTAGACGCACCTGAACATCTTTTTCATGATGTGATCATTAAATCTAACAGTCTTCTTGCAGCTCTCCGACAGCTCTGCATCAGCGATAACCCGCTCCTCGGGTATGCCGCCAAATGAATGGGAGAAACCGATGCCAGCCGCATCCACAGAGCATGAATACGAAGAGGAGCAGTCATCGATCGAGGAGCTGCTCTCGGAGATGGAGGGACGCGGTCCGTAGCGACTGAAACGCTTCAATATGCCACGTTGAACGCTGCTGCTGTCGTTGCACTCCGAGAAGCTGCGCTGCTTGCGCTGTGGCAACTTCAGCGTTGCCACAGGCTCCGAGCTGCCGGCGTTGAGACTCTCAGGCGACGAGTTCTCAGGCAGTTTCTCTTGTTGCTGCTGCTGCTTCTGGTGTTGCTGTTGTTGTTCCGCCTTGAGATCCTCAAATGCGGATTCGGAAAGCGAGCGTTGCTTCTTGTTGCGCTTGCGCTGCTTCTTGTTCCCCTTTTTGTGCTGGTGCTGCTGCTGTTCATGTTGCTCCTCCTCTTCCTCCTCCTCTTGTTGTTGCTCTTGATGCACTTGCTCGCTGATGTCTTGTGGAATAATAGTCACCTCGATTGATTTGTTTAACTCATTGTGATACGTGCTAATGCGCAGTGGTTTATCCAACTCCAAGTCGCAGTTCTCATCCTCAATATTCGTCTTGCACGGAGGAAAACAAGCATACTCAGTGAGATCAGTGGCATCGGGTCCAGCCAGATAGCTAGGCAGTGTCATGCAGGACTCGCTCATAAACAGTCTAAGGACGACATTATCATCGGAGGCATCCGGTTCGACGTGATCGATGTGCAGCTGGGGATCAGCTGCATCGGGCAGCTGCACTAGGAACGCATAGTTGGTGGGATAATAGCCACTGCCCATGGAGGCGAACTGCAGATGCACACTGCGTCCCTCCCTTATCACTGTCCGCATCGAGTCCGGCTGCACATTGGGCACGTGCAGCAGAAACGCCATCACATTCTCCACAATGTTGCAGTCAAAATTGGCGACCATCTGATAATGCAGATCTCTCTTCAGGAACGACTGGCGCGGGGGGACTAATGGACGAGAGAGAGAGAGAGAGAGAGAGAACCAAGTGAGCACGAACCATATCTATTACCATCAACTATTACTTACATGCATCGAAATTATCAGTTTGCGTCTGCTGCATCGTTGTCAGCTCAACAATGGCTTCGCTGCCGGCTTCCTCATCCTCGGCAGGCGATTCGCTGTTGGAGTTCAGCTCCACGCCGCTATCCTCGCGACTAAGGATGCGCACATTGTCGTGCATTTGGCGCTGCTCGCGAGCCGATGAACGCACCACGGGCAGCGTGATGCACAAACGCCTGTGCTCGGTGTCGAACCGGGCATTGCCCGACTTGTCATCCACGGTGTAGGGCAGATCCAATTTTAGGCGATATTTGGCTCCCGAACGCTCACTGAGCAGATAGACAGACTTCTCCGTCACATCCAGTTGACAGTCTGCTGTCGAGCTGAGCAGCGGCAATTCGATTTCGACGATAAGTGCTCGTGGTATAGTCACCTGGAGCTTGGCGTCCAGCTCATCCGTGTACTGGGCCATATCGATATCGTGGCTGTGCTTAATGCTGTACTTGGGCACCGCAAACGTCGGCGTCGACGTCACATTCTTCTTCATGGGCAGCACTTTGGGCTTGCCGGCATTTGCCTCTGGTTTCTTGGGGTACGTGTGCTCCAGTGGATGTGGTTCGCGCTCCTCGGCCGTGGCATTCTTGGACAGCTTGCGGATCACAGTGGCATGCGGTTCGCCCTTGTAATCGAGTTTGGGATACTTGAGATTGGCACGATCTAAATTGACATTAAACTCGCGTTCCACGCCATCCAATGCGGTGTCTATCAGACATTTGCGGAACTGTGAGTTACGCGTACCGAGATGTAAGGCGTCCGGATGGAAGACGACGTCGAAGACCTTGCAAAGCTTCTTGTTGGCATCGATATCGTCGCGAGCCGGTGCCTGGGCCATCGGTATGGACCAGGTGAGGCCCCTTTCGCCCGTTTCCGAATTGATGGCAACCTCATTGTTGGGCCTCTCCACAATCTGTGAGCCGCAAATATTGATGAAACACTTCAGTTCGCCATCGATGGCCGTTTTAACCACAAAACCGGGTTTGGGATGGATAAATGTGACATCGACGCCACGCTCCTTTTCCAGTTGGGTTATCTCCTGTTCGTAGATTTTACGGTTTTCGGGATCTTGGATTTCGTCGACGTAATCGAAGAACAATTTGCGAAACTCTTCGTCTTGCAAGGCGAGACGCATGCGAGCGAACTCGTCCTTGGTTATGTCCACCTTTTCATTGCCGTGGATCTTTGAGTGTTTATTGCGTGTGGAAGTGGCTGACATTGCTTCAAATGCCCAAAATACTTGCACTCACTATCACTATCACTAACACTATCACTGTATCCCTCTTGCTCTCTTTTTGTATAATATTTTTTACACTTTTTATTTTTTTTATCAAATAGTTTTACAGTTATTAAGGAACACGTAGCCGTTTTGAAATGCAATTAAGTTCTGTTTTTTATTACTGTTGCTGTTGTGGATTATGTTCTAGTTGTTTCTGTAAATATAAAAACGGAGAATTGATAGCTTTAATTAGCACAGCTGATGCAATACAACTCAAAATCCCTATTCTGACGTATTCTGACATATTCATACAAACATACACACATACACACACAAGCATGAAAGCAATCGAGCTGTCGCTTATCACACAATTGTCGTAGGTTACCAAATAATACCAATAAAGAACATCACCCACCCCCTTATAAACCGGCACACATGCACATATATATATATACATACATATATATATATACATACATATACATATGACTACACTCAATGCGCTCTTTCGTGCTCTCTTTCTCCGCACAATTTGCCGGTTGCATTGCGCCGATTGCTTTATTTTGCAAATCAATTGTAAAATTTAATATTACATAAAAGTATGTAGCTTATGTAATATATTTTTGAAGAGGAGCAGACAAAATCGAAAAGAACACGCAGTAGAACCATGCGTTTTATTATTGAGCACAAGCCAAAGTATAAAAAAACGTACTGCGTAGTTTGCCGTTTTGTTGTGGCCGTTGCTTCGTGTCTGTGCTTGCCTGTGTGCGAGTCGTTTATGTTTGCGTCTCAAGCGAATTTGTACGAATGACCGCAAGAAACGCCGGCAAATGCAGAGCAGGCCGCTTGCTAAAGTGTTGGAAAAGTGTGCAGAGAGACGGTGGGAGGTGCTAGCTAGATAACCAGAGGCAACAGAGGCAACTAACCAACCACTTGCCCTCAATTGTTTGCGTTTGCTGTCGTCGTTATTTGTCGTTGAGCGTTTAGTTCTGTATACATAATGTAATGTATGTGTGTGTGTATGTGTATGGGATATCAGAATAAAATATGTATGCAGAGCTCGATAATTCGACACAACAACAACAAACATATGTTCACGTGCGTTAGTGTGTGTAAGCGCACAATGAAAATAGGGGGAAAATGATTACAGTTACGTGACCAAGGAGAGGGAGAGAGAGAGAACGCACGTGTATGTGTTGTCTTCAATCAATCAATACACTTAAATTGTATAGTTTGATCAATATCGAAATGAAGTACGGGGAAAATTGCTTGATTTTCTCATTGCTGCATTTAACTGTGGTCCACATTGTGAAACCGGTCCGAATGAACTTAAAGCAGACAGGAGTTATATAGAGAATTACCCATGTTAAATGAAGTTGACAATCTGCCTGAACTTAATCAAGATGACAAAAGTCAACGACCATTCAGGTTTTACAGAATGACAATTGCAGAGACAATAGAACTAGACTCGAGACTGCATTTTCTTCAAGTCTTCACACATACACACACACACAATGCTGACTTTAATAAAAAATACATATATTTATATACATACGTGTATTACTCCGTCGATGAATATTGTGCAGAAAGAACGCTATTAAATTTGTGTATTTTTTTTAATTGCTGTGCAACTGTTTTTGAAGTTTAATTCAGAATTTCTCGAGATTTTTCAGCTGATCAATTTTTTCCAGGCGAAGCAAGCTGAGGACCGGCTCAGTGTGACCTAAGAGCTGTGACGATAAGACTCTTAAATAGTAAACTCCAATAGAATTTGGTATTTGTGCTCAAATGTTAACGGGGTCACACTAATCACTTGAGTTAACATTACAGCATATGTTAAAATAATGGGGTGCCCTCATCTGTATGGTTGGATTTCAGTGTTAGGCAATGTAACATATTTTAGTGTTGGGTAAAAAACAATGGCAATGGAGTCAAATTTATTTTTGGTTTTTCTGTTGTCATTTTTTTTATATAAAAATGCAAAAGGTGTGTTAAATTCTATTCCCAAGTGCCAAACAATGCATGTGCAAAAAATGTGGTTATTTTTCACGCATAGTTGTGCTGCCTCAATAGCGGCAAATTGAGCTGGAAAAAATGATGCTTACGCTGCTACTGCTGATTTGTTTGTTTGTGTGTGTGTGTTTTGGGCCACAATTTGTTTTCATATGCTACTCCACTGACCAATTGCGCCTTGTATAATGCCAAATGTGTGACAAAAGAGTCCTCCAGTGGTTTAAACAGCATGCAAATAATACACAAACGTGAAAATATGTATTATATAAATGTGCAGCAGTGCTGATTGTGGGCAAACGTAGCATAAAAATGCATTTAATCCCCACACACACATATGCGTCTGATTTGTGTATACACAAACGTGTGTGTGTGTGTGTGGAGTATTTCTAGCCTGTTTGCGTGTGTGTGCGTGTGTTACTGTTATTTATCTCTTGTTCTTGCAGCGGAAATTAGTGGACTTTTGCTAGAAGAGCAACAGGATATGGACATGGAGTTGCCGCCACACATCAATGGCAAGGAATTTCCAGCAATACCACAAAACTCTTTGCTAACGCATCCCAGGTAATTACTAAAAAAAAAAAAACAGCGCAATAAACTTCATCAAATTAGAGGCATGCGTTATAGTAACAATTACTGTAAATTTGAATTGAATCCGACTTATTATCGCTATTGCCTAAGAACTCCTCTAACCACCCATTCTAATATTCCCCACTCATTCAAATGCTGCACTCTAAATAATAAAAGGAGACATGTTAAGAGTAAGCGACGCATGAAAAGAAGGTAAAACTTTCAAGCATTTGCCCGCCTTTTCTCATTAATCACATACCTATTTTGTGTTTCTACATTTATTATTTATTTAATCAACTATTTTTGCATCATGTACAGATTAAAGTGTTACGCCTGTGAGCCGCCCTGTCTCAATCCCAATGAGCACGCCCACACATGCCAGAATGCCGTACAGGTGAGTGGTGTACAACGGATTAATTATTATTATTTTCGATTCAAATTTGAATTCTTTTCGTATTTGTAGTGCTGGAAATCTCGAACGCGCGATGCCGACGGCGAGGAGAAAGTCTCGCGCGGCTGCACCACGGCGCCAGATCAATTGCCCTTAATTTGCAATCAGAATGTGCGCAATAAGTTGAACGGACCCTCGAAGCGGAACACGGCGAAATTTGTGAATGTTGTGTGCTGTGCCAGCGATTTTTGCAATGACGGCGAGTTCCCCGAGCTACCACCATTTGTCAGCAGCGATGTGGCCACGGTGATCACCGCCGACAGCAGTAACATTAGCAAAATGACCGCCGCTATCCTGGGTCCATTTCTGATAATTATGGTTATGGGCGCGGTGGCCGTTTATTTTATGCGACGCAGCCATCGCAAACGGTTGGCGGCAACGCGCATTAAACAAGATCCCGAATCATATTTGGTTAATGATGAGCTGCTGCGCGGCACCAGCGCCGGCGACAGCACCTTGCGCGAATATCTGCAGCATTCGGTGACTTCAGGTTCCGGCAGCGGTTTACCTCTGCTCGTACAACGTACCCTGGCCAAACAGGTGACGCTCATCGAGTGCATTGGCCGTGGCAAATACGGCGAAGTGTGGCGCGGCCATTGGCACGGTGAGAGTATTGCCGTCAAAATATTCTTCAGTCGTGACGAGGAGTCCTGGAAGCGCGAAACGGAAATCTACAGGTAAGCATTGAGATACTCTAGATTCTCTATCAATTAAGTAGACGAAATTTGTGAAAGGCAGAAAGAGTTATCTTTATATATAACAATATATTATAGCTCTCGGTTCTGTAGGTCGGTAATCAGAGTTATATTTTGTAATTGACTTTCCACAGCTCATTTTGTAGGGTATAGTTATAGTTGTGCTAGCCAACAACAAATCCTTACCTATTTTGGTTTTATCTCAATTTTCAGCACCGTGCTGCTTCGTCACGAGAACATACTTGGCTTCATTGGCTCCGATATGACATCACGGAACTCGTGCACGCAGCTGTGGCTAATGACCCACTACTATCCGCAGGGTTCGCTCTTTGATCATCTCAATCGGAATGCTCTTAGCCACAACGATATGATCTGGATCTGTCTGTCAATTGCCAATGGGCTGGTGCATCTGCACACCGAGATCTTTGGCACCGAGGGCAAGCCCGCAATGGCGCATCGGGATCTGAAGTCAAAGAACATATTGGTCACATCGAATGGCACTTGTGTCATAGCCGATTTTGGTTTGGCCGTTACACACTCCCATGTCACAGGGCAACTCGATTTGGGCCATAATCCCAAAGTGGGCACCAAGCGTTATATGGCACCCGAGGTCCTCGATGAAAGGTATTCTTATTTATTTATAATGAGGCGACAATTTGTAACTGTTTCCACTTGGTGATTCTAGCATTGACATGGAATGCTTTGAGGCATTGCGCCGAACTGATATCTACGCCTTTGGCCTGGTGCTGTGGGAGGTGTGTCGCCGCACCATTTCGTGTGGCATTGCCGAGGAGTACAAGGTGCCCTACTACGATGTGGTGCCAATGGATCCCAGCTTCGAGGATATGCGCAAAGTGGTCTGCATTGACAACTATCGACCATCCATACCTAATCGCTGGAGCTCAGATTCGGTAAGTACACCTGCACTGCATATACCTAATCCGAAATTCCTTACCATTGTCGCCTTTCTTTCTTTTAAACAGCTCCTTGCCGGCATGTCTAAGCTAATGAGGGAGTGCTGGCATCAGAATCCGAACGTTCGTTTGCCAGCGCTGCGCATTAAAAAGACTATACATAAGTTAGCTTCCGTTGACGAGAAGATACGTTTAGACTTTGATGAGGTGTGCGTTTAGTAGCTTTTAAGTAGTTGACTTAAGTATACTATTAATTAGTATAAGCGACATTAGTTGAGTTCATTTTGCTAGCAGCTAAGTTTCATCATACATACACATACATATATATTATTGAAGTTATTTTTATATATTTTTCATATTTCATTAGTCTGTACATGGTCTGCATTAATCGAGATTTAGTTTTGTGCCTTCGAAATTGCCTTAAATGTAAATCGATCTTGACTAGAAGTATCATCTAAATAAGTTATTATCATCAACCTGCGCATCTGGATGCTGCTCCCAGAGAGAGAGTTTTAAAGAATCATTTTTGTTTTTCATTTCAAGTGCCATTACAATTAAGAATTGGTAAAAACCACAACAAACACATTTTTACATTACACTTAAGCTCACTTTTTACACCTACACCCAACCCCAAACACCTATTCACATACACACACACACACCACACACACACGCAGCCAATGAAAATTAAACAGCTATCAAGCAGCTAAAGAGAGAGTATTGATATGTAGAGTTATTAAGAACAAACGACACTCAAACAACACACTCACATATATATATATAGAGCAGAGCACCTAGTTAAGAGCATATGCCTGTACATGATCAGTTCCCAACTACATATAGAAGATACGATTACGAGTATACTTTTTGTATATTGTACAAATGCGCGCTAATTAAGTTGTATATGTAGTTTACAAATGACTAAGATACTATCAACAAATAAAATACACTTTCTAATTGTTAAGTAAATGCTAAAAATGTTTAATTATTTATAAATGCCAAAAACAAAAACATTGGTAACATTTATATGCTAAGAAACCATATATTAATGCACTTCAATAGATTAACATAAGTCAAAGAAGAAGGGTTTTTGATTATGGTGATTATTGACCATTGGCAGTCAGCAGGCGGAAAGTCTCGTTGTTTTGCTCATCGAGGAAGAGCAGCTTGAAGATATCATTAAAGAAATCGGGATAGTAGTCGCAGGCACGCTTGCAGTCCGGCGTCCAGTTGATCTCCAACAGTTGGGGCTGCATGTTACGCTCCTCATCTCCCTTGCCCGTCCAGCCCAGCATAATGTCAGCGGCGTAGAGGGCACGGGACTGAGCACATGGTGCTAAGCCGCAGGGTGGCGGCGCTTGACTGGCACAGGCGAGCACCTCGTGCAGCATGGCGCAGATCTGTTGCTCCAACTGGGCCCAATCGTGTTTTGGATACTGCTGGCGCCACATATCCACAAAGTCATCGCATTGAACATGATGCAGCTGCGCCTCTTCCTGGTAATTCATCACCGTATAGTGCTTCTCGTAGTCATCGAACGTGTCCAGCGTAAAGGGTCGGTTGGCGAAGCGCAGAAAAAACTTTCGATGTACATACGCCTCCAGTGGCTTCACCCGCTTCAGCAGTATCACATAACGTACATCGAACTTGACCCGGGCACCGTTCAGCTCGTCGCGTTGGAAGAGCACCGGACGATCGATGTACTTCTGTGCGATTTTCGGACCCGTTGCGGGCAGACGGACAATCTGCTTGATGTTGTTCGTGATGTGCGTGTCCAAGCCACGTGCCAAGTTCCAGGGTTTGATAATCCAATGATTGTCCAATTGCTTGGCCGCCCGCTGTTGATAGTAGGCGACAAATTCGCGAAGTTCCGTGCTCAGATTATAAGTGGTGGGCAGCCACGATGGATACGTGTCCAGCGTCTCAGCATTGTGATGCTCCTTGGCCGCACGGCGTCCCACAATGCTCAGCAGATCCTTGATGGTGATCACATACTCAAAGGGAAACTGATTGATGAACTTGTGCGGCGTTTCACGCGAAAGCTCGCCGAAATTCTTATAGTGGCAGGTGAGCCAGAGCACATCCGCATCCTCGGCGCTGTCAACCAACACAAATTCGGGCGCTGTGAGATGCTCGCGCAGCACATCATACTGGGCATATACTTTGAGGGGATCACAGCGTTTCGAAGTGGCGATCACAGCTGCCGAGTCAACTTGCTCTGGGTACGTTTCGGGTATGTGTCCACTGGCAAAGTAATCGGCACCGGGCTCCACTTGTAAAAAGCTTTCGCCACTCAAATCACTGTCGCTCCAGGGTAGCAAGAGAGCCGAACGCTGCGGCGCATCTTTCGACACATACTCAGCAAAGTCACGCGTCACTGGAGCGCCCTGCTCACAATCCTTAATGGGAAACAGCAAGCTGTAGGTGGTGTGTGTGTTCACGTAGAGCAGTGGCACCACACGGAAACTGGGCTCATCTGAGTGATTGACTGCAGAACCAACCTCATCCATGACATACCAGATGGGCATGCGCTCCTCATCGCTCAATCCCTCGCTGGCAATGGAATATGCATGACAATAGCGCCAAAGACGTCGTAATATCTTCTCAATACGCTGCTCATGCTCCAAATCGACGCCAGTGATGGCAGACAAACGATCCGCTAGTTGTGGATATTGTTCCAGTTGTTGGCGTGCACTATTCATTCGAAACGTCCAGGCATGATCTATCAAATATATGGCCTGAGGATCGCTTGCCTTGATGCCATCCTCGCGTGCCACTGCCAGAGCAAAGGCCGGCTTGGCACTGTCGTCATCATTGGCATCGAAGCACTCGTCTTCGTCGTAATCGATGAGCATCAGTTGCAATGCCTCCCCAGCATCAAAGCTATCCGTGGTCAGCTTGCGATATAGGGCCGGCCACAGATGCAGCGGCACCGCCGATGATTCCAATTGCGGCTTGTGCAGCGCCACAAATTCGTTGTATTTATTAATTCCATCCATGTCGCGTGCTTGGTGCAAAAGCCCCCCCGGGTTGTGCTTCACATGGTATATACCAAAACAATATACCAACAAATACCAAAGATCAGGACTTTTTTGCTTATTATACTAACTATCGATTCGCCTAAGGTAAACAACAAGTGGTGTTTAGGCGCAACTATTAAAATATGACATAATAAATATCGATACCATAAAGCAAAGAAAAAATTGAGCCTAACCGCGACTATTCAAATATGATAACTGCCGACCAGTGTTGGTAGTTTTTAAGTATGACTGCATTTTGCCGCACATTTGGAACATCTGTCAGGGTTGCGGGAGGGCGAACAGCTGTTGTACTAGTTTGCCTTGGTGAGCACATATAAATAAATGACAACAATATACAATTTCACCATTAGAAAAGTTGTACATGATATCAGTTGGCAGGCTTAGGTCGAAAAATTCACAGTCATCGCAACTCAGCACTTAACGAAAGGGGTATATATATCTTTGTCTTATACTCGTTTAACGAATATCGCGTAAATGCTGTAACGCTGACGCTGACTGTGTGTTAGTACATAGAAATTCTAAATTCTCGCTCTCCTGGCAAGCGGTCAAAAATAAACAACAAACACAAAGAAAAAAAATAAAAGCAATTAAATGAGTGGCACGCTGTCATTGCCAAACAACGCCATAGGCGCTGCAGATGTTCTCGCCGAAGATCCGACTATGGATGTAGAGGTAAGCCAAATTAAGGACGCTCAAGGATCTCGTCGCAATAAATGACAAACATTGATTTTTCTATAAAAAAAAAAAATGGACACAGGCTTTATTTTATCACCTAGCAACCACCAAATGACAACACTAAAATGTGATATGAATTGTAGTTAATTGCGCAGTTTAAATGTGGACGCGATCGCTGCGCCCGTTAGGTAATCCAAGCCCATTTGGCATCACTTCCGGATTTGTTGCAGCAGCAACAGATCGGGATTTCTCACACACCCTTCTATAACGCGATAATCTCTTTTTTGTAGAACAATATTTCATTTAGTTTTATGTATTCTCAAAATTGTCAAAAAGATAATTGAGATCTATGCAAAATTAATGTGTTTAGAACCATGTCTTAATAGATAATTGTGAAATTTTTGTTTATATTCCATATATTCGCTTACAGGTTCCGAAAAATAACAGTTTCTTTCTATGGCAGTGGTTTTGTAACTGGACTTCGACATCACCAATAATGCTGCGCGCCGTTGAGAAGAAGATTCTATCATATCTAAAGCTGCCTTACCGGGGCTACTTCGTGGACATTGGACCAGCTGTGGGTGAGGCTGACAAAATATGGACGGTCAGCATGAACACAGACTCCAAAGAGGTGCCGCTGGTGATGTTGCACGGGTTGGGCGCCGGCGTCGCACTCTGGGTGATGAATCTCGATTCGTTTGCCAAGGATCGTCCGGTCTATGCGATGGATGTGCTCGGCTTTGGTCGCAGCTCGAGGCCACAGTTTGGCAAGGATGCTCTGGTGTGCGAGAAGCAGTTTGTTAAATCTGTTGAAGAATGGCGTCGCGAAATGAACATCAGTAATATGATTCTGTTGGGCCACTCCATGGGCGGCTTCATTGCCTCCAGCTATGCGTTGAGCTATCCGGAGCGTGTACGCCATCTGATTCTAGCTGATCCTTGGGGCTTTCCCGAGAAACCCACCGATTCGACGAATACCAAACAGATCCCATTGTGGGTGCGCGCCATTGCACGCATTCTGACGCCACTGAATCCGTTGTGGGCTCTGCGTGCCGCTGGCCCATTTGGCCAGTGGGTGGTGCAGAAGACGCGACCGGATATAATGCGAAAGTTCCAGCAGACCATTGAGGAGGACATCAATTTGCTGCCCCAGTACATACACCAGTGCAATGCACAAAGTCCGAGCGGCGAATCGGCGTTCCACAGCATGATGCAGTCATTTGGTTGGGCCAAGCATCCCATGATCAATCGTATCAAGGATGTGCGCAGCGATATACCCATTACATTCATCTATGGTTCGCGCAGCTGGATCGACTCGTCGTCGGGCGAGAAAATCAAATCGCAGCGTGGCACCAATATGGTGGACATTAAAATTGTAACCGGAGCCGGTCACCACGTGTATGCCGACAAGCCGGACGTATTCAATCGCTACGTCAATGAGACCTGTGATATGTACAAAGTTGGTCGTCTACAGCCAGCAGCATCGTCCCCGTTGCAGTTCATACGCGAATCCACCGAATCCGATGAGGAGCACGAGCTGCCCAATTTGAAATCAGCAGCGGAAACGATGGAAATAAAGCAACAACCAAATGTTAGCCAAGGCGTAACATCAACCACATCGACAAGAGCAACAACAGCGACAACTCCAGTTGTAGATATGGGCGATATGAATCGGAAATTATAAAACTAACAATATTTTTCGACCTTAAATTATAAATCTAGCTCTACTTACTATGTGTCTATTCTATTAGCGTTCTTTTTAGTATTAAATGTTGTCTTATCTACATACATTTGTGTGGCTTAGTTCACATTTGTGTGGCTTAGTTCATATTCCATTGTTGTTGTTATTCCGATTCTAGGCAACGTGAATCAGTACTTGACTCTGATTAATTTAGCACTCGTGCCTCGCTCTGGAGGAGTACAAAGTACAAAGTTGTACACTTGACTATTGCTTAGTTCAACTGATAAATATGTAAACTGGATACGTCATTTATTAAAGCACAGCGCCCAAAAGCGCGCTATGGCCAACAAATACAAGACCATCCAATTCGTATCAGCTGCAGTTGCTAACGTCTATCAGCCGAGAAACCACACCACACGCGGAAGTCATCGACCTAACCCAGTGGCCTATACACAGATTGTTTTGATTTGACTTTCAGCACAGCTAATCACAATTAATCATGCATCATAATCAACAATCACACAGAAGTCCTCTAACATAAAAAATGATGCAATCAAAAGCTTAAGGCTTAGACTTGAAAAATCCTATATGGATAATTGTACCCGGCTTCAAGCAAAGTAAATATAATTTCAGTTAAAGCTTGATTGAAGATTGAAGATTTATGCAGTACAATTTTAAAATATGTTTATACATATGTAAGCATCTATATATCGCATCATACGAATTTTATATACATTTTGTATTATTTCCCAGGAATTTCAGTGGATCTCCGCCGCCAAATGACGCTAGTTTTAAACCAGTTAAAATTTTCAGTTAACAAACCATTTTTTTGTAGGATAGTGTTTGTGTTATTATATATATGTACAGCAATGCCACCAGCGTTTTAGCTATCAGCAAAAAGTTAATTATAAATAAGCGTTTTTTTATACATATGTACATATATGATTATAATAAACACCCCTCAATTATATGTAGTATTTATATATATGTATGTGCATCAGTTTACTGCTTGGTCATGCACTCCCAGTTGAAACACAGGTTGTGTATATATAAAACTGGTCACTGGAAATACATAACACACACACACACATATATATCTTTCAGTGTTTCGTAAACAAAGCTGGGTGAAGCAGACCTTATCAATGTGGCGAAAGTAAAGCAAGAATTATTGGCCACCAGATAAGCAAAGGTCCAATGGATGACAAATAATAACAATAACAGCCAACCGTCAAAACAAAGCCAAAATTTATACAATACAATTCTCTAGTCTACATTAATAATGCTTTCATTTTATTCGCAATTGCAGAAAGTCTCTCGATTTACACAATTCTCACATATTTTGAAATTGTTCACATTATAGGGATATAATATTTAAATAATATAATTTTGTTTGGTTTAAGCCAACGCTCTACTTGGCATTGGCGAAGCCAACGCGATCGTTGCCCATATCGAATTCGGTGTAGTACTTTCCAATGAAGACATCACCGAGAATCCAAAGAGGTCCATTTGGTGGTGGTATGTCCATGCCCATGAATCCGGACAGACAAATGGTTTTGCCCATTTGCGCTACGCGCAAAATGTAATCCTTGCCCTCCAGCTCGAATGTTTTGCCATTGAACACGAACTTAATCACTGGCAAATTGGGGATGGCATCACACGATACAACATACTGAAAGTGCAGTTATATGTTATATATATACATATATTTATATATGTATATGTATAGTTTGACTAGTTACCTGTCCACCCAGAATGGGCGTGCCACCAATGGCCTGATTTATGGAGGTTGCCTCATCTTGTGGGGCTGCAATCAGTGAGGTGCCCGTATCGGCAATCACCTGGCAGCCGCCCTTGCACAGCTCAATATCGTTTAGCTGAGCCGAGTCCATTTTGATCTGCCAATAGCCCTTGCGCGTGACCGGCAAATACGTAAAGTCACCAGTATAATGATTAGGATCGGAACCACCGAAGATAATTTCACCACCCTCTGGGGCCTTGGGATCACGATTCAGATAGAACGAAAATACTGGATCGGAGATCAAACCCTGTTCGTACATGGCATAAAATGAGGGCTTGACACCATCGACAGAAATCGAACTATAGCCCAATCCAAGTATGCCATCGAATTTGGCGGCGACAAAAACTAGACCGGGTTCGCTCAGCGCCTCGGCGAAGGTGTGATCCTTGATATCCAGCCCGGCAATGTTGACGGTGTCAGTGGACAAATAACCGGACAAACTGCCCGATCCGTAGTGTATGGCAAATTCGGTGCCGTTCTTGACATAAGTCGAAGACTTGGTGGCATCGTATTTGTTGTGCATTAGGCAAGCAATGTTGGTCAGGTGACATTTCTTGGACGGCACCCACAAGTTAGAAGAGCCCGTATCGAATACTACCTTAAAGTTCTGCGGCGGCGAACCAATCGATATGGGCCCATAGTATTGCGCATCCAGATAATTGGACAGCGGCTCAGGTGCGATGAGGCCGTCTTTGCCAGGCCGGATGTTCAGGCGGTGCAGCTCGGTGCCGACATCAGCGAAATGCCGGCGAACGGATTGGAATTTGCTCAACGGCACTCGCAACAACTTTGGATCGGCCCATGCCAGGGTTAGGCAAACGGCAAGCAGAAGCAGAGACTTATGCATGTCGACTGAATGCAATGTTTTAGAACGTTATAACTTGTGAAACAACTGTCGTCTGATTAATCAAGTAATTTGGTTGCAACTAATTTAATATTGTTGGGCAGCGAAAATGATTCAGCAAAGAAAATACACTAAATTTGGCCAAACGGCGTTATGAGTGTGTTTAACAGGGCTGAAGCTGTTAGTGCTTCTGCTATTTCCTAAATTATTTTCTTAAAAATCAATTCTATTGATAATAATAAAACAATTGCTTATTGACGTTTGGTTTTATTTTAATGAATAAATATATACAGAATTGGATTTAACGTTAAATTACGTTGTTTACTTACAGCAAACAACTCTGTATAAATGGCACCATGAAAGTATTTAACAGAACTGAAGCTATTGTCGGCACTTCTGTTATTTCCATATCTAACAACATATGTTTAAAACCATGTATAAAAATCTTCTAAACAAATAGGATGAAACGATTGGCTAATTGAAAGAAAATAGTTTTATTTCTATGGATATTTCGATTGTTGTTGCTTAAAATAAAGAATTAAATTATAAGTATTATCCAAAAACCATTGCATTTATTATTATTATTTTTTTTGAAAGTGTGCATAGGAAATATATTCAAAACATCTTTACAAGAAAGCAGTTAGTTTCCAACTTTAATAATTTCGCTTTATGTATTAAAATGCATTTGAATTGCTTAAAGTACTCGGTAGTTTAGATTACAATTTTACACTCTTACGTCTCAATACTTGTAGCGATAAATGGCTACACCAGCTACACCAATCAATATTGTACCCATTAAAAAGCCAAGTAACTTCAGCTATGAAAGAATTAATAAAATTAAATAAGGATTTCTTGTGTGTTTCCACTTTTACATACCTTTGAGTTGTCCACTAATGGCGCTTTCTGCCTGACGCTTGTTTTTTGTTCCATTTTTTTAGCCTGACCCAACATTTTCTGATACATCTCCTTTTCATTGTGTTCCTCCCGGCGTGCCTTAATAAAGAGACGAGCCAGGTCAGATTGCACGGTGCGATTGTCAGGCTCCAACGTGGCCACTTTCTGTAACAACTTGATTGCGCCCTGCGTATCATTCTTGCCCTCAAGTACCTGGAGATGATGGTTAAGTCTTTGCCTTGACGTGATAACAGCTCGCACTCACCCTTCCCTTGCGGTACAATGCCTTGGGATTATTCGGCTGGCATCGCAGCACATGCTCCACGGACTGCAGTGCGGCGTCATAGGCACCAATTTTTATTTGGGCCATTGCCAAATTGTTGTACACAATCAATCGATCCTCCAAGAGACTCTGCAGGTCACTGTTTGATAGCTGTACGTACAGAAATAAATATGCGTATAAATGTAATTTAATTATTATTTATCACATTTACCTCGAGGTCCTCTTTGCCAAACTCCGCATCTGGATCGCCATCCCGATGATCCAAATAGTCCAAGGCGCGTCTATACAAATGTATGGCATTATTGTATTCCACCCGCTTGTAAAAGTAATTTGCTCGCTCTTTTTTCCTGGCTCTGCGATTGATACATATAACAATGATTAGGATTACTTAACTTCAATACGGAGCTTTGAAGAACACACCCATATTTACGCAACACTTCAAATGACTTCAAATCTGCAAAATCTTCGTACTTAACATCAACCAATTCCAATTCGTAGATTAACTAAAACAAAAAGGAAAGAACCGAAAACCACAACTTGAATATGATTAAATGATTTGATTTTTGTTGTTACCTGAGCATTTGGTGGTATGACGATTTCCGGCGGATTGTCTGTTTTAAGTCCAGCCGTGCCATAGCCGAAGCGTTGATCAACAGTGACCTCTGCCACTTCGCCCACATGCATCATTGGAAGCACCATATCTAAGCCTTGCACCACTTCTAGATCTCCAACGTGACACTGGAAGCGCTCCTCCTTCTCCACAATGGTACCGTTCTCCAATTTTCCGGTGTACGTTATGGTTACCAAATCGCCACGATTGGGTCGTTTGGCACTCGATGATGCCTTTTTAATAATTCGCTTCAATAGTTGCTTGTTGCCCAAAATGTCACACTCGTTTTCATCATTGTCATCGTCCACCTTTGCAGCGCTGTCAATTTTTGCAGCTTCTGCTGGGACGTCATCGGTGTCGGATGTTTCAGAATCGTCGATGGCTGCCTGAGCTGCACGCATGTCCTTGGTGTCATCGGCACTGGGTAGATCTTCAAACGAGCTGCTGCTAGATTTTTCCACGTCCATATTAACCTGAAAGTTTATATTGCAAAACGTTGAAACCTCGAACAAAGGGCAACAAATGGTCCGATTTACTCACGCTATGTCAAATGTAATGCAATTTGGTACTAAATGTGGACTTTTGGGATAATTTGGTGAAAAGCGATTTTACGTTCTTAAAAGCGAAAATCGCTACGTTGTTGATTCACACTTTTTTCCAACAAATAACTTTTGGGGACAAACAATGTATAATAAAGATTTGGAAATGATTACTTTCACAAGTACATTTGACATTTTACAGTGCATAGGGTTGTCAGCCCATTACACAATGGCAACAGCACGTTGTAATTATCTAAAACTTTACACTTTGATGGATAAGAATTAAACCAAAGCTATTCATTGCAACACAAAAATATACTCAGTCATCCTGACAGGGAAAATACAAGCACAAAATGTAACAATTGAAACAGCTTCGAAATGCTTTAAATACTAAACAAAGATTGACGATATGTTTTGACGTGGTGGCAACGCCGAAAATCTGTTGCGTATTTCTGGTAGATTCAGTTCATTTTGCATATAAACCATTGTTTGTTGTGGCTCAATAAATGTAAATAATGTTTAAGAAAAACAAAAGTAGTCTAAGGAAAAGGTCCTACATACACAAAAATCAGCATAAGAAAATCAGCAACCAACAGCAGAGCCGAGCAGCGCTGCGTGCGGTTCCAGTCGCAAACACGTGCAAAGCCAATGCAGAAAGCGCTCTTCCCGCGACTTCAGTTCACGTTGCTCCTTTTGTTGCGGCACGAAAAAGCAATGTAAGTAAAGTGCAATTCAATGTTATTGGTTATATCTAGTTGCATACTCGCATGTATCGCGTCAAGTAGGTTGGGGGCGTCGCGGATATTTTGTTGGGGGTGCTACGTGCAAGTCGAGACAGCGCAAGCGCCAGCGCTCCCAAACAAAAAAAAAAAAAAAAAAAATGTGAAAAACGAGTGAGTTCCAGCAGATAATTTCCAGCAAGTTGAATCATAGTGAATTTGTCAAACCAAAAAGTGGCCAAAAAAAGTGTAACTAGACCCACCAAAAAAAATAAATAAATAATAAGAATAAAATAAAGCTAAAAGAAGAGGTAATCAGCAAGAAGATGGAACAAATCTGGCGAAATGTTTGCGCTCATTACGATGTGCCCGAGGATGTGAGCAGCACTTGGTTTACACGGATCGAACAGCATCTGAGCGATGACAGTCCCACACGCGCCTATCACAACTGGCAGGAGATGATGCAGCGCAAGCACTCGCATCTGTCCGACTGTGCGCCCAGCATTGCACTTGCTGCCTTCTTTCAGTATTATCATTTCGATGGCAATCGTAGCTGTGTGGAACAGAATTGTGAGGTATTCGATGAATTTTGTCGCGATGCCAACATTGAGGATGTGAGTAGGCAAACTGCATTTTGTGTTTTAACCCACGCATTCTACAAGGCTATTGAATGTAAAACAGGAGGAGGCTAAGTCGCTGGTGTGTAATCTGCTGGGTCGCAAATCGCCTGATAATGAGGTCACCTGGTCGCACGATGACGAGGCCAATTTGTTGCAGGATGTGGATCTAGTTGTGCTTGCGTATGTAATCAATAACAATACGAACATGAAATAACCTTGCAGATGAGTAATTATTAGTAGTAAATCGATTTGAATGTCTTCTGCAAGGGTATATATGCAGGAAAAGCAATGTTTTTAAATCAAATCTCACGCACAGCGCACCGCCGGAGGAGTATAAACACTACACTCAGCTGCTGCGGCACGAATATGCGAATCTGGACGATGGGGTCTACAAATCGATGCGTATTAGGGTGTTGGAAACACTGCTGCTCATACCGTGCATATATGCAACAGCTGAATACCATGACAAGTACGAGCAGCTGGCGCGGACCAACATAAGCAACGAGATTAAAGAGCTTAAGGAGCTTAAGGAGTAAAGTGATGCAGTTGTCAGTTGTCACAGTAGTTAGTAAAAGGATTCATTCTGCTTTCTCTACTAATCTGTTGCCTTTAATAACTATATATGGTTATAAATGTGTTGTTTATTTTACTGAAAATTGAAACTTGGTGGTTGAGACATATTTTAAGTTGTTTAGCTAATGAAATTTGTCTAATCTAAGTGTATTCAGGAACTTCATTAGCTGCATTAACAGTGAAGCGCCAATTAACAATATTTAGCCTATTGCTGTTTAATCCTCGTCAAATTGGAGCCATATGCAAAGTGGAGTCAAATTGAATGTATTCACAATGTAATTCTGATACATCATGATATATGATATGATATATGATATACGTAAGCTTTCTGGCCTGTCAAAAATGTTGCAATTCAAAAATGAAATAAAATCGATGTATATTTAATCAAAGTGATAAACTGTAGTTTTACTCAAAGAACCACTATGAAAAAAATTTGAAACAAAACGCAGTAAGTATGAAAAGTTGCATATTGTATACTTTTCAAAGTCTCGCAAAGAAAAGTATAGAAATTAACGCACGTATTTTTTTCATTTAACATCAGTTTCGTAAAAAACTAAAGGATAATTCAACAATGCACTCAAAACGTACAAACTTTCAGAAGTTCAAGGATGATCACATTAAGGTATGGATCAAGAAAAAATTTCTATCCCAATGATTTTTAACATTCCATTTACTTTTAGAAACCGCTAAAGCGCTTGAAAAATAGGAAACCAAAGCAAAATAATTGCAGCTATTCACAAAAACTGGCAAATTCCATCAAGCGTCGTGCATTTAACTCGTTTACCAGGAACACTTCGACATCGAAACCATTGAAACGGAAGTTGGAGTTTCAAGGCAACACGCAGCGGCAATTGTTGCTGCCAAAACGAAAGTTTTATCGCAGCAAACAGGTAATCAAGAAGTTCAATTGATCTATGGTGCTCTCTGCTGAACTTCGTTAATGTCGCACTACTGCAGCAGTCAGCGGGTTCCAGAAACATTCTAAACACAACGATGGAGGAGGGCGAGGTTATCGAGGAGATTGAGAGTAGTGACGACGATGACTGCATTATTTTGGATCCAGATGTATCAAATAAATGCCTTGACGACAATACCAACGAGGTTCCGCCAATAAAAACACTTACTACGAGCAACGAGGACGATAACATTCCAAGTTGCAGTCATTTTGAGGTGGACACAAAGCCAGAGCGTCAATTATTTGATATTTGGTCAAAAAGATCTGGCCGTGGCTTTGTCTATCCAGGAAGGTATACCCCTTTAAGTGCATCCAATGATAGCTGCATTGTATTAGACGATAGCTATGATAATCGAGATGAGTGTTCAGTTGCAATTACCGATGATCGTCAGCATCCCAACATGTCTAAAGAGAAGCTAACGCAGAAGCAAAAATCAACGAATTCACTGGACGACAGCGTGATAATCATTGAAGAGAGTTTTATACCTCTGCCAACGGACGATAAGCCAAAGAAGCCACTTAATAAAAAATACAAAAGGTGGGAACAGAAGAAGTTAGGGGATCAGGCGTCGCAGAAGAAGCAGCCGGTTGAGAATAATGTTGGAATGGGTGTAAATCCGCCAAAGATGTACAGGCAGCGTATGAGCCCGCAACTATTTACGACAACTGAACGCAAAAAACTGGCTGATTACAATAGTAATACATATAATCCTGACAAGGAAACGGGAGCGGACGAGCCCATCTCGAATAAGCGTTCCATTATCATCGATGGCAGCAATGTGGCCTTTGGGTGAGCATCATTTTGGCATTAAATTTTGGTAGCACATTTTTGTAATTGACTTGCTTTACAGCCATGGCTGCTCCAACATGTTCTCGTCGGAGGGCATCAAATATTGTGTGGAATATTTTCAGAAAATGGGACACGATGTGAAGGCCGTTATACCGTTATTTCGTCGCAATGCTACCAAATCAACGAATCCAGAGATTCTCGATCAATTGCATAGGGATGGAAAAATTGTATTCACACCATGCAAAAATCTGCCTAATCAACAAAGTATCAGTTATGATGATCGGTAGGTTATCAGTCAATCTCATATCTCTTATTTACCGATATATCTTATATATATATATATATTGTGTCATTTCAGCTTCATCCTACAGTTGGCATATGAGCGTAACGCAGCGGTTGTCTCAAATGATAACTATCGTGACCTGATCCATGAGAATCCAGCATTTAAGAAGATTATCGAGAATCGCGTCATTGGATATTCGTGGTGCGATAACATACTTATATTACCTAAGGATCCCTATGGCAGATTTGGGCCACAGTTGGATGAAATTTTACGTTGCTAGAGTTAAGTTAATAAAGTTTCCAATAGTTTCCATTTAAGGAAGTGCATTTTTTTTTATTTCCATTTCATTAAATATACATAGTTGTAAAATATATAGGAGTGCTGTTAAATTAGATTCTTGGCGTAACCGAAACAACAGTTGTTGTAGATACAGTGGTTGATTGTGGGGCTGCACTACCTATGAATCTCGGATCATATTCTGGTGGTGGCTCATTTACAGCTACTGCCAGATTCGGATTGCTGCACTCCAAATCAGTGGCTATTGTCAGTGTGGAGGCCCCCATGATGCCCTCTTGCTTGACATTACTGTTGATGCTAAGGTCATCGTAACTGGGTGGTAGATCCATGCCCTTGGGTAATATACGGATGTCGTTTATATCGTTGTCGGCCTGAATACAAACGTTGCCGTTGCCATTGCCACAGTTGTTGCCTGTGTTCGCTGTGCTATTGTTGGTAACGCTAATCTCCATTTGTTGCCGTGCTGTGTTGGAGACAAAGAGAAATAGAAACGAGTATTAAATGTTGACACAAAAATGATATCTTTGCAACGCTTATCGCTCCGATAAAATGTGGCAATCAATATAAAACATTATGTCTTTTCACGCTTCATCTTATCTTTCAAGCTCGTAAATTTGAATAGTAATTTATCGATTTAATACTAACGACTTGTTCACATTTTTATCGATTAATCTGCGCTGAAGGTGCTGTATATGTGCCTTGAACAGCTGATTGTTAGTTCAGTAGCGCGCAGCTGGCTGCCCCAGCGGTATCAAATTTAAAGCTGCTTTATTAACTTAGTGTAAGTGTTAGCAAGAGTCACTAACAAAAACACACACGTAAAACACACACGCATAGATAGTGTAAGTGAAACGGCTTGCACAAAAAGTGTTTAAGGCCGAAAGTTTAACTTCGATCGGTCATTTATGTAATAGATAAACAATTGCTGACGTTGTTGGCCCAACAAATGGTGAAAGTGTCTGCCAGGGGTTTTTTCTGTGTTTTTGTCTCGTCAAATATGTAAATGTGACTTAATGCAGCTGCAACAGGTTGTAGGTCAAGTGGCAAAATGTGATCCATTGCCAAAGCTCAAATTTAATGATAAATCGCTTTTTGTTTTGGTGTTGTAATTAGTTGAACGCAAATATATAATAAATTAACTATTAGTGAAAGTCAGCTTATAAGATTAAAAGGCTAACACGTTAAAATTTTAAATTTGTTAAACTAACGAACACAAAAGTCTTTAAGAAAGCTCGAATTAAAAAAAAGCTTCTTTCAACAATTGTTCAGTTTGTTCAGTTTAAAGGTTCTTTGACGGTTGAAATAGTTCTTGCCAACAGCTTGGGGTTTAAAGGTTGACACTTTGACACTAAAGCGAGATGACAACTTGTTGACTTAACGGTTCATTGCGTCATTGCTGGCAGTGGAAAAAGCTGAATTATTAATCTGAACTAGTACACTTTTTGCAGACTACCTGTGCTGTTCTCCCAGCTCTGCGTTTCCTGCCATAAATGCTAAGACGCGTTCTGGGCTATGGCGCCCTGGGCACCGGCCTTATCAGTACCGGACTGAGTCTGCACACGAATGATTATGAGCTGAACTCGCTGGGCATTGTGCGATTGTCGCGGTCGGCTTGTGCCGTCGTTGATGTGGCGCTGACCTACAAGCGGGAGTTGTACTACAAGGAGTGGGACAAGACGACGCCCGAATACAAGGCGGAGAAGAGTCGCGTGCACAAGATTGCCGCTGAGAAGCTGCTCAAGCTGATTTGCACGAATAAGGGCGTGTATATCAAGGTGGGTCAGCATATTGGTGCCTTGGAATATCTGCTGCCCAAGGAGTTTGTGCAGACAATGAAGGTGCTGCATTCGGATGCGCCACAGAATCCCATTGAGGATCTGTACAAGGTGATCAGGCAGGACTTGAAACGCAATCCCGACGATATATTCGATAGTTTCGAACGCGAACCCCTTGGCACTGCCTCATTGGCCCAGGTGCACAGGGCACGCCTGAAGACGGGCGAAATTGTTGCCGTCAAAGTGCAGCATCCATATGTGAAGGGTAACTCTCGAGTGGACATGAAGACCATGGAATTGGGCGTTAAGATGCTGGCACGCATATTTCCCGATTTTAAGATCCAGTGGCTGGTCGAGGAATCCAAGAAGGTGAGTTTGGAATAGACATTTTTAAAAGATCTTTGAAAAAGTTTTTGAACCTTATTGAATTGAACCTTACATTTCTCCTTTTACAGAATTTGCCCATTGAACTGGACTTTCTCAACGAGGGCAAAAACGCAGAAAAGGTTGCTGAACACTTTAAGAAATACAGCTGGCTGCGTGTACCAAAAATCTATTGGGAGCTGAGCACATCTCGTGTGCTAGTCATGGAATATTTGGAGGGTGGTCATGTCACTGATTTGGACTATATAAAACGGCACAAAATTGATACCTTTGCGGTGGCCAATAAGATTGGTAAACTCTACTCAGAGATGATCTTTTCCACGGGCTTCGTGCACAGCGATCCACATCCCGGCAATATACTCGTCCGTCAAACGCCCAAAAACACTTTGGAAATTGTCCTGCTGGACCATGGCCTCTATGCCAATCTGAGCGATAAGTTTCGCTATGAGTACTCAAAACTCTGGCTGAGCATACTGAATGTCGATCGGAAAGCGATGCGTCAGCACAGCGAACAGCTGGGCATCAAGGGTGATCTATATGGTCTGTTCGTGTGCATGGTGACAGGTCGGCCCTGGGAAACGCTCTTGCAGGGTATTAACAAAGTTAAATATTCCAAAGAAGAGGTGAGTGCATGAAATACATAAAAAGTTGAAATCTTTCCCTACTCTAAGCTGTTACGTTTTGCAGAAGAATACGCTTCAAAGTAATACATCGTTGGTGCTGCCGCACATTTCGGACGTGCTGGAGCAGGTGGATCGCCAAATGCTGCTCATATTGAAGACGAATGATCTGAATCCGGGGCATTGAGTCAACGCTGCGCACACAGAATCGCATGACCGCCTTCTGGGCCATGTCCAAGTGCTGTGTGCAATCGTCATATGCGGAGCAACTGTCACAACAGTCATCTGCATCGATACGTTGGCGTTTGCGGCTGTACGAGCGCTGGGAGCTGTTCAAGCTGAATATCTACTACCTCTACTTGGGTCTGATTAACTTTGGATTTCTGACCGCGCTCAAGCAGGTGTTGTAGCTCTACTGGCCTTAACCTTTGACTCGATTAAAGTACAAATTTTGTTGGCGAAAAAAAAAGAACATTTACCTCGTTGCCTCTGCATGGCTAGTCTGCGTAAATTCTCCTTACGCTTGCGCATTATTACCGACTTTGGTTTGTTTTTGGGCGAAATAGAGAAAAGCTAGTTAGCGGAAGTCTGGCCATATGTACTTGAATTGCATTACCATTGGGACGAGGAGTAGCATCAATAAGCAAAAGACGAACACCCACACAATATAAAATGCATTGCCGTAATAGAAGCCATTGTTCCAATATGGTCCAATGGTGCTAGGGGCGCTGGTGGGGTACCAGTTGATCACAATGCTAGCCGGGGTTGTCGTTGTTATTGCTGCTGCTGTTGTTGCTCCTGCTGCAGTTATTGCTGCTGTTGTTGCAGTTGATGCTGCTGCAGTTATTGCTGCTGCTGCAGTTGTTGCTGCTGTTGTTAGTTGCTGCTGCTGCTGCAGTTGTTGATGCTGCTGCTGTTGTTGCTACAGTTGTTACTGTTGCAGCAATTGTTGGTGCAGCTGTTGCTGCTGCTGCTGTTGCTGTTGCTGTTGCTGTTGCACTTAGTGCTGGTACTGCTATTAGGGGCGCCATTTCGCTGCAGCACGCAGCTCCGAAAATAGCTTGAAAAGTTTCGGTTCACTCGATATGCCCGCTCAAAGGGAACTGAAGTCACCGAAATAAATGCGCCTGGTTATTTGGCTGGCGATCAGTCATCATGGGTCAGGCACGGCTCACATATTTGCTTTGTAATCATTAGCTGATAAAGTTGACAAAATCAGTGCCAAGTCGGGGCTTAAGTTTTGTACTTTTTTTTGTCTGATATCGTATGAGTTGTGCGTTGGCAAGGGGACAGGTGGGGGAAGTCTTACCCTCTTTATCTAATGGGCACCATGATAAATGTGTGCAAAAGTCGCACAAACTGCTAGAATGTTTGTATACTATCTACATATATATCTATATATGCATATCGTTTTGCTTTTGATGATTTATGGCTAGTATTTTTAATGGTAAGTTTTCAGTTTTTGGCCGTTATCATAGGGATTGTCTTTTGGGTTATGAATACTAAACACGCACATATACCGATTTTTTTTAATGTTTAGGAAGTGATATACTTTGTTTACTAATCATAAGTACCTCCTTGTATATAAATAAAATATTTGTACATATGAAATTTGTTGACATAATTTTAAATATTTGTACATATAACACTAGACTGCATTTATTCTGAATAAACCATTTATTAATGTAATTGAGATATGTAAGTGAATTCTCAATTGAATTCTTAAACTTGCAGTCATTCGAATTTTTGTATTTTAGTGTATAACCATTGCTAAGTCAACTTATAAAAACATTTGTAAATCTTTCTCGTACATTGTTGAATCTTTAGGTTTGTGAAAAAACACCCTTAACTTTTCACAAAAAAAAAAAAAAGCCACGACACGCGCCCATCTCTTACCAAGTTTTCGAAGTGCCAGAAACTAGTGCAAATATTTGAGATAATGTCTGCTCACCTTGTTCGAGTTGAGTCGCCTCTTTTAGCCGTCTTAGCAAGTAAAAGCGATAGGCTATCATCATGGTCTGCAATTCAGTGTCAGAACATATGTTACGAAAAAAATAACAATAATATTTGCTGCTAACTTACGCGTAGAAAGAAGAGGCAAAAGCATATAATGGCCAATGAGATTAGCAATGTTTCCGAATCCATTTAAATGTTGTTTATTTACGTTCTTTATAGTGCGTATTTCAGATACTTTCTTCGAGTTATGTGGAATTTATTTTCGGTAGCGATGACTCACTGTAAGCCCTGTCGCATGTCCAACGATAAGATATGAGTATGGATACGGCTTTATGAATGTATATTTCCAGTAGGCATTGATTACATTTTAATTAGTTCTAAAAATCGATTCACATGCAACTCGTTAACCGAATTAAGACAACTCCGATTGGCTGGCAGAATGCGAATGAATTATGCACTGGTTATGCTTGCTAATATTACTATTATTATTATTTTTTTGGTATATCTTCTCTGTTATTTAGTGGTGTATATATGCCGTTATCACCATTACTCTGGGTCCCCACTTCAATAAGCAGATTGCCATTTTTGCCCGCTCGTTTTATGGCTTTGGTTATCACTGTACAAACCCGCCAGTAAGCGAGACATTCTGTATGTATCTTTGTTGCCGCCGCGTCTCCCCCACTGTCAAGACCCAAGAGCATCCGTTAACCCAAACAGAGAAACACAGCCAGTTGCTGTCATCAACCGTTAATTAAAGTGAATGGCCGCTTGGCTTTTTGGCTGTCAGCTTGCACGGTATGCGCAATCTTTGCCATGCACCTTAACCCCGACCCACAGTCCTAGCTAGTATGCATGAATGAGCACACACGCCTATACACCCACCCATACCAACACCCACAGACACACACTTTAACACACACACACACACACATACATACATACATACACATTCATACATACATACATATATATATATGTATGATTATCGCTCTTTTGTGCATTGCGTTGAGAGATTTTTGCCGAACGGCTGCTCATTTGCATAACGCGCCGCTTTCTACACATACACATATGTATATTCGAGAAGAGCGCCTCGCACCTGAGCAGAATTCTTTTGTTGTTTTTATTGCATTATGCACGCACACTTAGGCACAGTGTTTGTGTCAAGGTGTCTCCATCTCAGTGTATGTGTGTCTCTTCTGTTTTTTTGTTGGTCCCTCTTTGTGTCTAGCATTAATGTAAATCTCTTTTGCATCAAAGTTGCATTAAAAAATCGTTTTCAAGCCAAATTGTTTACTGAGCCATGTAATTTGCACTCGAAATTAGTCTGCGAGATGAACCTGAAACCAAACCTGTTTTAATATAAAATATTTCTTTTATTTTAAAAGAGTGTTTTAATCTAGCGGTCGGAGATGTTTTCTTTTTGTAATCATTTATCGATATATTTATGGAATTATCATACACAAAACATTTGTTACCATTTATTTGAAATGAATTTCCAGTCTTCAATAATTGAAACACATTTGCATTGAGTTTTCAAACGTATATTTTGATTTGAAATCAATTAAACGATTAAAAAGCACCAGACACGACAAAAGTTTCTTAATTGCAATACAACAAATCGAATTACTCACATTAACTAATTTATATGTATATATATATATATTGTTATGACTAACATCAACATTTTCATGTAATTATCAGATAATATTCAGTTTTATATTACACGCTAACCTTTCTAATAGTTTTTATAATATATATAATATTTCAGAGTTTTGGTTAAAGTTTTTTTTCTTTTTTGTGTTTTTTTTTTTTGATAATTTGGCACAGCTTTTTATTTTTATTTGGAAGGGCTGAAATTAAGTAAACTGTAACAAAACCAAATGCTATTGCAAATGTATAATGAATATTGTTGATATTACGAATATAGTTTGTCTGGTTTTAAAGAATTTTATATACGATTTTAATTGGCTTTATTAACTTTTCATTGGATTTTGTTTTTAACCGCTGCACTCTTTACTTCAGTAGCTGTATAAAGCTGCTTTATTTTGATCTGTTGCCTTTGGCATTTTGCAATTTAATTGAAGCTATATTCAAAAATAAATGACATGACCACACAGCGTAGTACTATTTGCATACACTGTCACATGCAATTAACATACTTTATTAAATTTCAATATAATTAGCTGCAATTTGTTTACTTTTGCATATTTCACATTCGTATCGTCATCTGCAAATGGAAAACAGAAAATTGGAAATAGATAACTTGCATTGTTATTGTTGTAATCGGGTCGGTCTAAAAATCACATGTAATGCATAAATAAATAATTTACATTTTACATATTTCAGGCAAAAGCGCCAACACACACACACACACACACGCACACATACTCACAGCCACACAAGCGTTATTTTGGCTCATAAAAAATTCATAGATTCCCATACTTTTTGGCCTTAAATCATGTCACATTGACTGCGCCCAGAGTGCTGTGTTCAAAAATTATTATAGACTACTAAGTCTCCAGAACTTGCATAATTTATGTGCCAGCTTAAATATATGCACATATGCATATAGTGTAATTCATATATGTCCACTTAAATGAATATCAAATGCTTTAAAATGCTTTTGACAATAGCGCCTAAAAGTATGCTTCAACAAATTAAAAGAGGACCTAGTTAAAATATGCAGAAACTAAGCCAAACTCAAATTGATATAATTTTGTCTATACAAGACAATACCAGCCCAACAGCGCACAATTTATTTCGAGCGTATATATTTGTAAAGAAAGAGAGGGAGAGAGGGAGGGAGAGAGAGAGAGAGAGAGAGAGAGCAAGAGTGACAGGGAGAATTATTTTTGAATGACAAAGTAAATTCAAGTGACATTTTAATTAATTTCAATGTGAATTCCCAGTTAATAGTTGCGTGTTGATTTTAAGTTAACAATGTTAAGTGAAATGTCACACATATAAGACCTTTATCAAATATGCGCACACACACACACACACACACACACACACACACACCTACACACAAACCAAAACAAACAAACAAACAGGTTGTAAGGTAAACTGCAGAAATTTGTTGGAGAAACACAAGACACAAATCAATTTGCATGAGGATTGAAACTTTGTAACTTGCCGCAAAACGAAACTTTGTTTTCTGCACACAAGTGTGTGTGTGTGTGTACGTGTATGTGTGTGTTTGGGTGTGTGAGTGCTGTTTCTTGGTCTAGCACTATGTTAAATTTGAATTTTAAATTTATGAAACTGCAGCAGTCGCAAAAAGTAGGATTTTCCCAGGCGCACAAAACTAATATATGTATGAGAAATTTTAGTGCTAAAGCAAACACACACACACACGCACGCACAAATTTGTGGCATTTGCTTGATGCCTTTACAATTAGATAGAATACTTTTTAGGCGTCCCTCACACGTCATAAAATCCTTTTATGTGGTGCAAATTTTGAGCACAATCCCCAGGCCCCCTTCCTCAGGACCCCTCTGACTTTGTGTCCATTCACTCGTTGAAAGTCGTTCAGCTGGAATCAAGTTGTTAGCACAATTAGTGTGGGCGTGTGCTGTGTCTGTGTGGGCGTGCCATCAGGTTCAGTGGAGGCGGCTGGGGCGTGGCAGCTGTGGTTTTCATTATCGGCTACGTGCCTCATTTTGTCCATGAATGTTAAGTAAAATTAATTGCGTAGCCGCTGGCGCCAAAGTGTGCGAATTGTTCCCGCTTTGTTTGCTTATTTTGATAACAACAGCCTCAACAATAACAACAACAACAACAACATGAAAAACCGCAGCAGCAGCACAAAAACTTTTTGAATAATTTCATTAATATATTTGGTAAAATTTGTTGGCGCGTGAGATATGCATGTAATTTTCACACACAAAAATAAGCACGCACACACACACAGTGCGGCGCTGCTTATTATAATTTATAATGAGATAAAAAAAATAAAAAATATCAGAATAAAATAGATTTGTTTATTTTGCCACTGTTTACGCGGAAGAGGCGCTACCTTCGCCCGTTTGACTAAAGGGCTTAATGAAGTTGTCTTTGCCAAGAAATTAGCCAAATATGGGAATTCAAGGAGTTGCTAAGTAAACACAAAAGTGGCTTAGTCAAAATACTTTGAAGTCAGCCTAAGCTTGAATATATTCAGGAAACTAAGTAGGAAGCGCTTAAGGACTAACTGAATCATTGCAGGGTAGCGCACAGTCGGCACAGTTGGCGCAAAACTCGATTTGTTTATCAACGCTAAGGCCAACATTTTTAATTATACTTTTAGGATATTGGCAAAAAGTTTGCACTTGGCGTATATTGGACCAAAAATAAGGCCCAAACGGTCTAGTTATAGCCAAGGCTTCCTTAAAAATAAAACAGGTCAACAAAAATGTAGTACAATAAACTTTAATGAATTACAATTTGCAATGGATGGCAGGAGGCAGTCCTGTAAATCCTTCAGCAAACAGCAACTGGGCAAAAAATAAAAAACCTAGAAAACGAAAAGGAAATGAAAATATGTCGACGGAAATGAGCATTGACGCCGCTGCTGGTGCGGATTGCGAATTGCGGATGGTGGCCATTGGAGTGTATTGGCATTGGTATTGGTATTGGACTTGTGTTTCTGGTCAAGTCAAGTTGCCATGGCGCTGATTTTGCACAAGTAAGGCGGAGTGAGGCATTAAGTTGCCGTTTCATCATTGTCAACAGTCGCAGACGCAAACAATAAATATTGTAAACAATTTGTTCTGCGTCTGATGCCTGATGCTTAATGCCTGTGTGTGTCTGTGTCTCTGTGTGTGTGTGTGTGGCAGTAGACGAAGAAATGCCAGTGCAAATATTTGAACACGCTCAAAAGAGGAAATAAGGTTTCGAATGCGAAATCCGCAAAACCCTTCAGGCCCATAAATTATCATCATCAGCAAATGACTCGTTGGCTGTTCTCTGTGGCTCTTCTCTCGTTGCGTTTACAATTTCCAATTGCCGCATTCTCGATCCCCGAGCTGCCCTCTCCCTCTCAATCATCATCCATGTGGCGTTCACGTGGCCAATGCGGCATTAATTAAATCAAGCATCATTAAGCGACTGTGGCACTGGCAACAGTAGACACTCTGTGGGCGTGCCTGCATTTGCAGCCAAGTTCCTGCACAGTGTCCTCATTACTTAGTTTCGGAATAAAAACTATTCAGTTCTTTGTAATTCAGTTGTTTGTAATGTTTAATAATCTAAATAATTTAAATTTAAATAATTTAAATAAAATACATTCTTGTCTTGATATCAAAGATTTTAATCTAAACAATTCTGTTTTCAGAATGTATTAATCTCTAGGCATATAAGCTCCCCATCAGCATCAATTGAAATTGAGGCAATTTTTGTTACACTTGGAATCACAGTGGAGTTGGGTAATTGAAAAGCCCAACCAACTACTAGTTTGGGTTGCTGGGTAAAATTTCATTTGGTGGAGTGTAATTTTATGGCATCGGATGTTGTTTTTATTAAACAGACAATTAAAGTATGTGTTAAGCCCTCAACTGGTCTTTAAAAGCAAAGACGCAATCATTTTTCAACTGGTTCAAGACGGCTGACAGTTTCACAGTTTCTATTTCATTTATTCAGCCTTAGAGATTTTTATCATTTTTATGGATTTTTGATTAGATACATAGTTGTCTAGGAGCTCAGTTTTTGTTTATGAACTGAAAGAAAAATGTGGAAAAATTTGCGGGTCACATATAAATTAAATGAATAAGCAAACATTTTGTTACATTCGTATATTATGTGTTAGCCATGTGATAGCCAAGTACATTTTTCTCTGGGCCAACTGCGCTTGTCTTAGCTGTATCTCTGGCAACTAGCCAAGTCTACAAAACAAAAGTCGAGCACAGGAGCAGCAGTTTGCCGAACGTGGAGCATGGGCCAATGTAGCCAAGTGAAATGGCAGAGTAGCGCCAGATGCGCTCTCTTGGCTTAAACAACAGCAAATGCACTTCGAAGCGGCTTTTTGCTGGAGACCCTACCACACACATACAGCACACACATACAGCACACACATACAGCACACACATACAGCACACACATACAGCACACACACACACACGTTCGTCCTTGTCTTGGGTTTAAATGGGCTTTACGTACACACAACGTCTATTTATTGCGCCGCTTGTTCAGGCAATTTTTCACTAGCGAGGATTTTGCCGCACAAACGCTTGAAATTTCATTTGGCAAATGTAATTCGATTTAAGTTTAAGGCATTCACCGTTCTCCCCATTCGCCGTTTGCTTTTAGCCATTTGCTTTTTACTTTTACTTATTTTTTACCATTTACCATTTGCTATTTGCTATTGTGATGGCAATGAATTTTGCAAACCTGCAAACATTTTTATTTGTATAGAGAGCACTTTGCGTAAAGAGCTCTGCATAGATTTCAGATGCATTCTTTTGTCTGCTTTATTGTCACAAATAATCATTGTGTAAAGTGCAGGTTTCATGTGTGTTTTATTTGTTATCATTCATTATGTTATCCTGTTCAACAACTCTTGAAAGTTTTTGAGCCGTATTAATTGTGAATCTTTCAAGAGATTTTAATTGCATAACTTTCAAGTTTTAATTATTACTTTGTGCCTGTTTTTTTTTTAATTTGGTCTGATTCTTAAAATGAATTATTGGATTTACTAAGTCAATTAATTAGAGCAAAACTGTTTAATTTATATAAAGTTAAAATGATATATAAATGTATCAAAATGAAATTGCCCAGTCAGTCATTTAATTAGATCAATCTGTATAATTTATATAAAATTCAAATTAAAAACAGAATTATCGATTTAAAATACAATTGCATTACGAAGAAGTTTTTAATGGAATTACTTCTTCCACTTCTACTTTCATCTGATGTTGTCTCTAGTATAATGTTTTTATTAAATTTTAAATAAATTCCAGCTGCAATAATTTCATTGAGCATTAAGCTAATTGAAAAACATTAACGAAACTTTACAAAACTTCTTACAACTGAAACAAAAACTCTACTTTGCTCTAAGCTCTGATTTTATTTTTATTAGAGGAAAAAAGGATTAAAGCCATGTTTAGGTTGACTTTAATTTCCACTACGACTTGTTTCAAAAATTTCTACCATTGCTTTTCTAATTAGAATTCGTACGCTTTCAGATAATGGATTTTTACTTAATTCTGTTCTTTGTTGCTGTTGGAGTATTCGTTTGCTTTGCTGACTTGTCTGCTCTCACTAAAATGGAAAATTTTCAGAATGCTCTTTGATGCACAAAGCGCGGTTCCATTCCTAATACTAAAACTGCTCGCCACAAATGCGCAAATTGTATTGCATATTGTTCCACAAATATGGAAATTGCACTTGTCCATGTTACACACACAGTTGTGTGTGTGCGTAATCAAATTTGCTGAGCTACAGTGAGTGGTTGGCCGGGGGGTTTTCGGCAGCGCATTCGTATACAACAATCGGTTAAAAGTAACAACAACAATAACAGAAAACACAACTTGGCTAAAAGCAATAAACTGGCCAAGTGGTTGGCATTGCCAGTGTTGCGGCTCTGCTGCTGTCCCACAATCGCCCACCACTGTCACGGCCCGCCCTTTGTTGCCCGCATCACCGCAGCATGCCCCAACTGAGAAGTGGAGCTTTGCCAACTCAGCAGGCATTTAGTTTTGTGTAAAATGCAATTTGCTGCTTTTGCATAAAAACGCCTTTGTTGCTGTTGTTGTTGTTGCTGCCTCTCATACTGTACCAAGTATTAAGAGTTATAGTGTATGAATTTTTGTGAAAACCAAAAAAAAGTGGTCAGCATATTATCATTAGTTGGCTCGTAAATTGTTCAAAAATTAGTTCAGGGTTTATTTATGGCTGGCTTTTGAGTTTCGCATCGGACATTTTTCCATGCAGGCTGGTATGCTGTTAAAAGACACAAAAAATATGTATTTGAAGGTACAATTTGAAATTCCTTCATGGTTTTTATGATGTGCTCAATTTGCATTCTGTTAACTAACCACAAAGGAGAATTTGCAAATTGTTTAAAATTAGTTGAGGATTTAAAACTTGAATTGAATACAAGAGAGCATCAAAAATAGTATAAGATTTAATTGAGTGATTACATTTTGGTGCTCCACTAAATGAGAATTTCAGTTAAAGCTAATCTACTTCAATCTTCAACATTTATGAGAGCACGCCTGCGACTCACAGTACATTGGCATACAGCATTTACAGGTTCTTCAACTATGAAATTTCAAACACATCTACACCCACACCCACACTCAAGGATTTTACACGTACCTGAGCATTTACGTAAATGGCTCCACTTGCTGTTCGGCATCCAATAAACTTAAATCGTTGAATGTTACACAATTTTCCAGCACTTGGCTGCTGGTTGCATTAACTAAATCAACATCAATGGCTAAACGATGCTCAGACTCGGACTCCCTTCTAGCTGCATTCACTTTGATGCAATTCTGCTGGCAATCAACTGCATAGCAGAGCGGCAGCTCCTCCTGCTCATGCTGTGAGTCCTCTGGCTGATTGGACTGGTCAGCTGGATGGGCGCTTGTCAGGAGCAGCATCTGCTCATCGTAGCTGTAGCCATAATCGTATTCATCGTACTCATCCATGAGTGATTGCTCCGAGTAGCTCTCGTCGTCATCATCAGCGCAGTCAAAGTAGCCACTCTGTGGGATTTTTTTGTTTTGTTTATTCGAACTAGCACTCTGAGTTGCCTACTTTCTATTTCTTTACTCGGTAAATACGCACCTGGCAGTCTAAGCAACGGCAATTATCACAAAGGCTGCAGCTGAGACCCAGTAGATCCGCCGCCTCCTGGAACAGTTCATAGCTGGAGGACCTGTTGGTTTGCTTATACAATTCCCGCTCCTTTTGCTGTGATTGTTGTAGTTGTTGTTGTTGTTGTGTGTAGTTTGCCAACTTGTTGTTGTTGTCATTATGCATGCTCCAATTGTTCAATTTATTTTGCTGTTGCTCTACTCCAACTGCCTCTTGACTGCTGTTGCTGTTGCTGTTGTTGTTTTGATTTTTCATGTTGCTGTTGTTATTCTTGCTGGCTGAGTGACCGGCAAATGATGATTCGACCGCCGACATGGATGTAGAAGTGGAAGACAATGTGGCAGTGGCTGTGGAGGTGGACGCTGTGTAAGGATTCGCCTCATTGCTGTTGGCCCTGAAATGAAAAGTTTATTCGTCGTGTATTTAGCTTTCGGTTGACTAAACTAAACGCTCAAGTGCACAAATGAACACCACAACTCACAGCACAGTAAGCATAGAATATTCAAATTGAAAGAAAACATAGCATACTTTTCATCGCGATTTACTTTCAACTGTTGAGCCTAAGCCATCGTCTCGTTCCGAATACAACTTTAATTTGCGGCAAGGAAAAACTTATTATAGCTGGCGATTTATATATTTATAAACACATATCAGCAAATCTGAACACTCAACTCAATATATTTAGTTTGCGGTGAAATTAGTCTGTGACAACTTCTCTTTCATGTGTGGAAGGGAGTTCACTTCACCTTCAACATGTCTGACATTAATAATTTGTGGCCACCACAGAAGTGGAGAAGTGCTCCATAATCACAGTTAAGTTGGCAAAACTTAAACATATTTCGAGCATTTTTGTGAGCCGATAAATTTATGTATACTGAATGACTAGAGATAACTTATTATTATAATTACTTTGTAGTGTTTGGTATAATTAATGAAATAAATAACTTGATTTCGGTCAAATCAAAGCAATTATTGCTTGTTACGTGATTGAGTTGTCATTTACTTTGACTTAAGCATGTCAGGCTTGTCACCCTGTCATATCATCTCAAAAGGACATATTTCATCTGTGCCTCCCACGCCTCGTCACTTAATGGCACAGGTCATTTATTTTTTATCAACTGTAATGCAGGCCATTAAAAAATAGATGAAGGGAGCAAGGAAGCGAGAGTCATAGCTGCTTGTACTCAGAGGGTAAAATGGCACTTGAGGGGGTGCTAAAAAAAATTTAAAAAATAAAAAAATAAAAATAGTTGAAAACTGAACAAGAAACTTTTATTCCCCCACCAAAAAAAAAAAAAAAAATGTTTTGCTTGATATTTTGCGACACTATGCAACTTGATGAAGTTGTTTGAGCTGAATTCGCGACACCCCCTTGATAAATGTGCTCCACAAAATGTACTTGTTATCAACTGTGAAAAGAGTGAGAAAGAGAAGAGGCCGAGTACATTTCCCTGCTGACGCTGCGTACTAATTAAAGTCGCTAATAAATCAAAGAAAAACTTGCCGTCATTCTCGTTGTGCTCCGTTGCAAGTTGCAATTAATGAAATATTCAAGGCTGTGCATTTTGACATCATCATTACGACAAAGGACTACGAGGGTAAAACTTGGCGAAAAGTTAGCGTCGCAAACTATTTGGGCCTTATGTGTGCAGTGTGAAAATTTAATTTTGCTGATATCTTTTTTTTTACCCATTAAATTGAGAAAATATGTAGGATATTATGAAGTGTATAACAGTCATCCTCTCAAAATAGCCAATGAATATCGATTTCTGATCCCTATATTAACCTAATTGAATGTGTTAAATATGTCATTTAGCCATTGTTCTGTCTTCTATATTATTTATTTCTTACCTCACTTTTTTGCTAATAGTTTCACAAGTAACATATCTCACCTTCGGGCATTTCAAAGTTAATTTTTCTTCTTCTATATATATATATATATATTTTATTGTGTGTGTTGGCAGTCACGCCCACCATTCCCAAGCAGATCGTTAGCTATTGATATATGAATATTGCATTTCAATATTGTGTGGAGGCAGCTCTTGCAGCATGTGTGGCATGCACTTTAATCAAATTTATATCAGCACTGCTCCACTATGGTGCTTCGGCCTCTGGTACGCTAAACGCTTCACTAACTTTCCGTTAGCGCGTTAATTTTTCAATTTCGCAAATGGCTATAGCAACTCAAAACCAACTCTCAACCCCAGACTCTCGCTTCCCCCATCGGGGAAGTTTGTCCGTGCTAAGCGCTGGCCATCAAAACTTATGACTTCATGTACAATGCAACAAAATTGCACGGCTAAACAACCACGGGCGAAATTTCAGAGGCGGGAGCGGAAGCGGAGGTTTATTGAGGGGGCCGGGTTGTGGGTGTGCGGGTGTGTGCCGCTGTCATGTTGTGGACAGCTAATTGAATGCGTTTAACAGCCGGTGGGCCATGTGCTCGGCCAAGTTGAACTCATTTGCAGCGTGACTGCCATAAAGATGCGCCCCAAAGCATAAAATGTGTTGATTACTTTCAGATGCCAGACATCAAGTTAATAATAAATTGAAAGACTATCACTTAAAGCCATCATCCAATAAGCTATTAAAATGTTGTGGTAATTCTAATAAATATTAGATTTAACTAAAGCTCGGGCGAAACCTGAAAAACAGCAGCAACTTTTTGTGTTGGCCAACTTTATTTAAAAACTGTTTAGCAGCAACTTTGAGGCTGTTTATTAAATAGAAATGACTAAAAACTCAACCTATTGGCACAATTTGTTAAAAAAAACCTACTTCTAACAAAATATGAATATGTCGAATATTTAGTTTTATAAGAATATAAAGTTTTCATAGAGTTTGACAATCATATGATGATTATTTTGATTCTGCAATTGAAAACTATTTTGCCTTAGTTAGATATTTATCGATCGATAAATGTTGTATTTCGTACTCTTTATACGCAATAAATCGATAAGTTTTGCCAATTACATTATCCTTTCGATTATTTTTGATTGTATTTCGTTTCATATAAAATCAGAATTCTGCAATATTATTTTTATTTAGGCCACTCTTGCCAAGTCTTATAAGAGCGTGGCAAACTAAATGACAAAGTTGTTGTTATGCCAGCGCATACTTTGCTGGTTGCTGGTTGCTGCTGGTCCCCGCGGCGGGGATTCTTGGCATATCGGCAGGGTTGCCAGCAACTCGCAAAATTCCGCTGGCCCAATAAACTTGTGCCCCATAAAAAGTTGCCCACAATTTTAGCACCGCAATATGCCTTATAACATTTATGAGAATTTATAAGTTTTGCCACAGAGTAGTGTGTGCGAGTCGCAGGAGGGGATGGGGAAGGGGTATGGGTTGGTTGGCAAGTACCCACCTGCTGGGCTGTGGCTGGATGGCGCCACAGGCATCCGCATCATCCGGTGTCAGCTGTTGGCTGCTGCGCCATTTCTCTTCTTCGAGAAATTTCAAAAACTTTGTCTTCTTGGCAATAAGCGTTGATTTGACATTGGTGCATTTCTTCCTGTTGGCCACGGCCCCAAGCAGTGGCAGTGGCAGAGGCATTGGCTGTGGCAATGGTAGTGCACCTGCACCTGCCCCTGTTGCTGCCACCGTTGCTGTTGCGCTCTCGAGCGGATCGCAGCATCTACTATATGACGCTGTCGCTGACAGGCTGCTATTGTTAAGGCTCCTAACTGAGCAATTGTTGCTGTTGTTGGTGTGGCTCTGCAGTTGATTTCTGTGGCTGTCATTTTGGCCGACGTCGCCGACGTTGCAATTGAACAATTTCTGCAGCGCTGCCGTTGCCGGTGAACACATTGCGGTTGACATTGATGTAGCGACCGGATTCGCATAGTTTGCTGTTGTTTGTGTTGCTGTTGTCGTTGATATTACTGGGGTTGTTAGTGTTGCTGGTGCTGCTGCTGCTGTTGCCGCTGCTGCTGCTGCTACTGCTGTTGCTGACGAGTTGCCGTTGACTGTGCCAAAAGTTTTGAATTTATGCTGCAAACTGCAGGCGCCACTTGAATAACTTGCCCCAATTGCATTGCTTGTGCTGCCTCTTGTTGTCCTGCTGCCATTCATTTCACGCCCTGTTGCGCCAAAGTCCTGCAAAAGTCGACCCTTGAATATCCAGCACTTGGGCAAACAATTTGACCCTTAGGCAACAAAAAAAATAAAGAAAGAAAAACAGAAAAGAGAAAACTTACCCCATACGTTGGGTTGTAGCCGGCATTAAGCACGTAAATGGAATTTTGATTGCTGCACTGAAAAATCATATCGTCCATTGTTTGAGCTGTTCCACAGTACAAATAACAACAGGAAGAAATTGTATAGATATTATAGATATGCAAAGTAGCTACAGGTAAAAATTAAACAACAAGCTGAAATTATGTAGGTATTATTGATATTTAAAGTAACAAATGTAAAACATTTCTTTTTACAAATTGTATCCAAAAAAAACTTTTCTAATATTGTTAATAAACTACGCTTTTAAAATTAGATAATGAAGCTAGAGTAGGATTTGAATAAAAATAAATAATTGATGGGCACAAAATTTATTCATGTGCCTACAAAAACTCATGCTAATCTTTTTTCAGCCTACCCTTTGGGCAATTTCTTTAAAAATTTCATTACACATAAATTTGTAATTCATATTGAAAAGCTTACTAACATTCTTGCCAAACAACATTTCTCATTTCAAATATTTGTTCTGTTATTTGTGGTAAAGAAAAACTGATATTCGTTTAACAAATAAAACTATGCAAATTTTTTTTTAGCTTGAAATCAAGCATTGATTGTGATTCGGATTCTATTCCAATTCTGATTTCGTATATTAACGCCTGCTGTTTTCTCATTTCAACTTTCCACAAAGAATAAAGAAAATTAAATAAAGGAAAATCATTTAAATTCTGATTGATGAAAGTGCGGTGAAGCATCTTCGATTGTGATTTGCTGTTAGTGTTGTTGTTTTTGTTATTGTGGTTGTTGTTATTACCCGCTGAACTTTCAATAAATTTCGTCTCGTAAATATCCGACGAATTTGTTAAAAATCTCCACTTCTCCCGCTGATCCTTATTCGTGCTGCGCTTCAGATTTCGTATGGAAAGTGTTGATTGCTCTTGAGCTGCTGATGCTGCGCTCTGTAGTTGTCGTTGTCGCTGATGTTGTTGTTGTTGTGCTTGCTGTTGCTGTTGCTGCTTTTGGTAATGGCCGGATGGCAGCTCGTGTTGCTGGTAATCAAAGCTGCAATTACCGCTGTACACGTCCAATTGAAGCGGAAATTTATGCGGCTGTTGTAGCGTGTAAACGCCAGCATCGACGCCAGCGCCGGCGTCTTGGTGGTGGTGCTGCTGCTGCTGCCGTCGCTGCTGCTTCTTCTTCTTATTGCTGCTGCCACTGCTGCTGCGACTGTTGTTGTTGCTGTTATTGGAGCTAAGCCAGCTCGTTAGCCACAAGGATTGTAAGTCTACAAAAGAAAGCAACGACAGACATGGATGATGAGACGATGGCTGGAGTCTGTAGCATATTGAGCAAAATAAGCAAGTTTTTGGTCGATGCCCCTGAAATGTAGCCTGAGATTTGTTTAATGCACACGATGAGCATTTCGTTTCATGGTTTATACATTCTGCCGCCTGAGTCGACACGCAAAAGGACTTTTTTTGTTGTTGTTGTTATTCATGTTAATCGGCTGGCTTTCAACTTGCGAGTGTGTGTGTGTGTGTGTGTGTGTGGCAACAACATCAGAGAAACATGTAACAAAGAATTATTTGGGATTGTATCTACATGAATTAGGCATACTCTGTCTGCAGTGCGTAGAGGGATTAGTTCTTAGGCTTTAAAGGACACTGCTCTTCAGCTCTTATTAAGGACCTTTAGTTGAAATGAGCAAGATTGAGTTCTCTCATAAAATTGAAGTAAACTGATCCTTCAACAAATTACTATCCAGTGTAACATAATACAGTTAACTTAAATATAAGTAAATATTTCTTTTCTGCTCCTTCATTTTCTGCTGTTGCTCAACATTATGTTAAATTAAATCAAATTATTATCCACTTCAACATAATTCAGTTATGTAGCTTCAATTTCAAGGAATACTGAGAATTTCTAGAGTTTAGCTGAATTATTTATAATAAATAAATATTTACATACTTTTGTCTGCTTACAACACCATTTTCTGCTGCTACTCAACACTAGTTAAGATTATGTCAAATTTGTATCCATTCTAACCTAATACAAGTACGCAAAATTGCTCACAATTTTTCGAGCTTATCTTAGCCTAAAGTTGAATATGAATATATATTTTTATACTGGTCTACAACACTATTATTATATTATAGATTAAGTCCGATTCTTGGTATTTTATTAAAAGTTATTCAACACTGTTTCATCACAAGCTTACCCGTGACACTTATTTTGATATTTTTCTACAATTCATTAAGATGTTGTTAAGAAACAATCTACACACCCGCCCGGCACATTTGGGTAACCTTTTTGTAAAATGTTACTGAGCATAAGGAAAAAAAGAGGAGAATTTCGTTTGAAAGGCACTTCATTGAAATAAAGAGCAGCAGGTTGCAGCTCATTCATTTCGCTTGTTCCCAGCTCCATTAAAATCCCAACTTGCGAGTATATTTCTATTCTCCTTTTTTTTTTTATTTAGCAGAGAAAGTCGGTTTCAATGTTATCTCTACTCACTCTAACCAGCCCACGCAGTAACAATGGCAAAAAAGCAACGAATTTGTTTTGTGGCACGCAAAATAATCAAAAATAATCCTTTTTTCCTTTTTTTTCCCCATCTGGCTTTCTGTATATGTATTCGTTTGTTTGTTTTTGTTAGGGTTAGAGCTGGGCTTAGTTATGGATGCCATTGTTGGTTGTCGGAGCCATCATTTGGCTAAGCTTGCTGATAGTTTTCATGCTCAGATATGAGACGGCGCCGAAATGGCTTTTAACAATTGTGCGGCGTATACGTAATATTCGTGCTTAACAGCTGAATCCACTTCAATCTACTCAACGCCAGGCAAGTCAACAAATTAGTCGCATGTGCTGGCAGCCCTTTAGCGGTTAACTGGACACACTTCAATTGTCCTGCCGGACAATTTGTATGCAAAATCATGTGTCCAAATTGCTGTTTGGTTATTCTTTATGGCACACAACGAGGTCACTCCACACATACTCTGAATGGCGCCGGATACGCTCACGACTGGCTCCATTCATCAAAATGTCACAGCAGTTGTAACACTCCCAATCTTCTCTCCTCTGACAATTCTGCCAAGCAGAAAAAACCGAATAAGGCAGCCAGCCAGCGAAATCATTGTGATGTGCTGTCATTAATCGCAGCTAACCCTCTGTAAACCCGGGTCTGGGCTCGAATTGTTGCAATACTAATGCGGGCTAAAGCCCAAAAGGCAAATATACGCATACATTGCGCAAAATGTGGCAACAATTTCAAACGAAAATTGGATTGGAATCGATAATCGTTGTGTGGCCAGAGTTAGTCAAGGGTTAAACCATAAATATGTGGCTTAAGAGCTGTCGAAACCTCAACCTGCAGAGTGTTTTCCAATGATAACAGCAAGCAACGCCTTTTTAACATAATTTTACTGTTAGCTGCTAAATGATTTAAGCTTCCAGTTAGTGGGTAAAACTTGTCAGACAGTGGAAGATAGCTCAATGCTGAGTTTGACTACTTGGCTTCAACGAACGTTAAATAATTGTAGCTTAATATTATTGGTTGAGCTTATGGGGGGATTATAAATCTTATGAAAGCTATTTGAGATATTTGTCAAAAGTATTTAATAATTTGCTCGGGTGTAGTTTAGCTTTTGTTTCGTTTAGGTTTTGTTAGAAGCTTATTCGACAGTATTCAATTTTATCAGTTGCTCTGCAATTTACCAAAACGGAAATGAGAAAGAAAATTGAAATTTTCATTTGAAAAGCCATACAAGACTTGCGCTTGTAGTTATTTTTAATCTGCTCAGTAAAGTAGCTTAAAAATAGACATGTTTATTTACCAGAATGCTAAAAAATCAATAACCAAATAGATCAAATATTTTAGATTTAAAAATATACATTGCTATTTTTGCACAATATGAAAATTATTTGTCAGCTCTTTAAAATGGCCAACCACGTTCCCTTGTCTTTCTTACAGTGTATGCCAGTATGATACACATCGACAAGAAGCAGCCATTAATGGAAGGTGTCATTGTTGTCATCCGATGTTGATATGTTTATGTGTGGCTGTGTGTGTGTAAGTGGGTGTGTATGGGTGCATCATTTGGGTTGGTTTTTTTTTCTTTTTTATTTGCTTAGTATCCCAGGCAAAGCTGCTCGCTGAGCATTTGTAATGAGCCGCAATAAAGGAAATGTGGCAGGTGACATATATCAAACAATTTGCACATTATAATTGTTGACACGCATCACCTCCATGTAGGGATTTCCAGACAAGCTCTCAAAGTGATGTGTCATTAGGATTGGGGCACGGCAAGAGAAAGGTATTTCCTGCACCCACCCCTCCCCTCATCTACCTTATAACTTGGCTATTTTTTTGTTTTATTTTGCTGTTGGTTTATTTTATTTATTTGGGGCAAGGCTGGCCGTATGTTTTGTGCCTGATGCTAATAATAAGGCTTGTATTTATTTTAGGATTTTGCGTATAACCGGCCGACCAAAAGGCAAAAAAAAAAAAAAACAGGCCAACCGAAACACAATAAGCGCTTTACAAGGTCACCGCTCCCCGTCCTGTGGGGAGAGGTAGACGAACTGAGAGCAAGGGGCGGGGAGACAACGAACCGCAGCCAGTGAAGCGTGGCATATTTGTCATAATCAGCGCTTAGGCATGGGCATAAATTTGAATGTGTGTGCATACACACCTACACACACCTACACACACACACATACACAACTTTATCACACATCAGCCAGTCATGCACCACACATGTGTGTGCCTGTGATTTGTGATTCTCAATGTGCGCCTAACTAGTGACTAGTTCAGGTTTAGGCCAACTATCAAGCATTTGCCTATGAACTGGGCCATCAACTGTCAATTTGATGTAAGCTACTTAATCGAGCCTAAAACAAAACCATTTGAGAATTATAAACTACTATTTGATTGCGCTTTAAGACACGGCGTATTTGCTAGCGATATTTTCGTTAAATGTCAGGTAAACCCATTAATCAAGCCTGATTTAAACCCATTTAAAATTTAAGGCATTCAAAACTTTAAATTTTGAATTTAGGGCTTTTCGGATCTCTTGTTTTCGTTGAATGCGCTAATATATATCAATCCCCCAAAGCCATTAACAACGCTCTAAGCCTCGGGCCACTGACCATGACAGCATTTTTGAGGGCATCGCGGAAAACGCTTTATCGCCAGTGCCCGGAGCCAAATATTTGTCAGACAAATTTCAAAGAGCTGCAGCAGAAACGCAAAATCGAATATGGAATGAGAGAGTCAACCGTATGAAGGGGTGCAGGGAGTGACGGGTTTTGGTTCGTTGGAATGGGGTTAGCATGTGGCACGGCTGTCCTACGGTCATATACATTTATGCAGGAGCACCACAGCCATTGGTCATAAATTTTATGCGAGCATAAAAAATGTTTTCGATTTGCTTCGATGCTTACATAAATTGAAAGGTCACGTATTCACAGGTGTATCTCGTGTCTTCTGTCTTCTCTCTGGCAGAATCTTCACCCCCGCCTTCCTCAATCCAGAAGGTATGCTACAAATCAATAAGCAACTCGCAAATATACGAGTATATGTTTTACTATAGATTCAGATTATTATATTTTAGTGCAGATTTTTGACTGTCTGATGAATATACCAAATCTATAAAACTAAAATAACAAAATCAACTGAGAACGTTTGACTGGGAGTTGCTATGCTAGTAGAAGTTGTATAATAATAATAATAATAATATTTTTTAATAATCATCTACCAAAAATCTAGGATATATTTGCTGATTTATACCTTAAAGTTATCTAGTTAATTTACTTGTTGCAAACAATATGCTAATTTTATTATACCCATTCTGTGCACATTCAATGGCCAAACAGGGTAGTAAAACAATATGTGGTCAATCATTTTCGTATGCGTGCTTTTGGCTTTTGTTTTCCATCATAAATTTCCAATTCAAAATCCACATAAACATTTTAAGCGGCATTTTGGCAACCGTTGTTCGTTTGCATTCATACAATATCATGATTATATATAATCCGGGAAATTGGCACAAGAGCCATAAATTAATATTCTATACAAACACATCCATAGTTCGCTCACTCTCTTTGGAGCTTTGTGTGTGTGTGAAAGGATTTTCCCATTATGCAGTTTGTAAGGCTTTTATGGCGCGATTATCATTATATATATATACTTTTGGCATTCCAATAAGCAGTTATTCAAAGCGGATTTGGATTGGACGTGGGCATTGCCATCGGCAAGCCGCATCCTTTTGGTCAGCAGCATTTTTATTTTGGCTCAGCGCAGCACTTGACGTATACGTAATGTGCTTATAAACGACATAAGAACTGCGGTTGATTCACAGATTCGCAACGTAAACGGCTAAAGCGAGTGCCGAACGAGCTGCATAAGAGATTTGAGAAATTCGAATAAAATAACTCGCATTTTGATAAGTCATTTGCAATGAAAATTCTGGCAACTCATTGCCAGCCATTCTGCCTTGCAGCTTATGCAATTTTCTGTAAGACGCCACAGCAAACTACAAATCGGACTCTTTTTAAGCTTAGGAAATGCCATAAGCAGCAAGTCTGGCGAATAAGTAAGAATTTGGGTTTACTTAAAATAAAAAGAACAACAAAAATACCGAGCATATTTTATTTACTTTGAGCAACTCACAGATTTCGACCTCTGGTCAAATTTTGCATTTATAAGCGGCAACTTGGGGACATCAGTTGGGTTAGGTTAGGTTTTAGTTTGAAAAAATAATACGTAAATATTTTTCTCTCTCTTGTGGGCGACGCACAAAATTTAATATGCTTGTAATGAAAATCTAACAAATAAATTCAACAACGGTCTCTTTAAATGCTTTAGCAATCAGCAGGAAAGGGAGTGGAGGCATCACTTGAAATGTGAGGCATTTATGTTTAAGGCCAGCTGGCACTCAAAATGAGATAAACATTATTTAAGAAATATGCCAAGTGTGGGCTTGTATAATCAAACATACACACACACATACACACACACATACACACATATATACACACCCTCTGAGGACCTGAGGGTAAAATTTACATGAAGCTAAGCAAATGTTTGCGCTGTCGCATGCCTTGTTGTTGTTGTTGTTGTCGTTGTTATAGCTATGTGGCTCGTATTGGAGAGCAGTTATTAGTCGTAATTAATTGAAGCAAAACATTTGCACTAATTGGTAGTAATACCACAACATTTGCTTTGATGTGATATTTGATTTGGCCAAAGCAAAACTGAGCAGCCAGAAGGACAAGAGAGGACGACGAATTGGTTGGAGCAGCTGCTAAAAAGCGCATATCAGCAATGCGGATAACACATAGATAGGAAGCGACGGAGAGATGGAGTAGATTGGGGCGCCTTGGGAGACACCCTCAACGATGGGTCCTTGAGGGCCAGTTCACTTTCAAGTCTTGCGGCACTTGAATTCTAATGGAAATGGCACATAAAACAGAGAGCACAAAAAAACAAAAAAAAAGCAAAAAACCAAAAAAAAAAGAAAAGAAAGAAATCAAAAAGAGAACAGAGCGAGAGAAAACACAGAGAAGCGAAAACATCACGACAACAAAAACAGCCAATTCAAAATGTCTGACCCGAGGACAACGGCCGACAGCCGGCAGGACATGGATATGGACGCAGGACTGCCAGATTGCAGGACACGGCGATGAAGTGTACAAAAAACTTGAAGAACATGGTGAAAATTTCATCCTCTTCATGTGCTTTTTTATATCTATTTTTTTTTTTTGTTTTCGTCGTTTTATTTTTTTTCAAGTTTTCCTCCTCTTTGTTTGCTGCGAATGTAAACACATTAGATATCGCTCTACTCTATGTTCCAGTGAAGACCTGTCTGTGGCTGCTGTGGCAAACTTTATTCACGGAGTTGCCTGCCCGCCTTAGCCCAAAACATATTTGCTTAACAATAAGGGCACCTGCTGGATGCGTTCTGTACGCAATACAATCACTTATTGCCGGCATGCTGAAGGCACATGCAAAGTACATTTGAGATTGAGATAAGCACGCTCCGCCGATGCAAATATACAGATACATATATATATATATATATTTGGGTGTTTGAGCATGAGCAAGACAGAAAGTGAACAATTAGAAGACATTTGCATTTTAGTAGATTTGCTTTCGCTTCGCTTTCGTTTCTCCATTCATCTAACCAATAAGTTCTCATTTGCGCAACTTTCAAAAGCTTGGCGCGTGTCCAACTGTCACACACACACACACATATACACACACACACACACACACACACACATACACATTATGCGCGCACTAAATATTCACTAAATGCAACCAAATTTTGTCATTTGTTTCAGACGTGATTTGATTACACAAGGACTTCCAAGTTCTCCTTCTGCTCTTGACCAACAAAATAAAAGGTTCTCCAAATTGCTTCTCTGACTAGAATAAGTGCAGAAATAAAAGCTGCGGACAGCAATGAAGTTGGACTGTAAAAGATATTTTCAATATACGAGTCTTTTTGAAGAAATCTCTAGGAAAAACCAAACTGGAAAACATGAAAGAATTAGTTTGAATAGTTTAAGTGTGATTGAATTTGACAACTATTATGTTTACCTAGTCAAATATGTTTTTAAATAAGAAACATTAGTGTAGGTAGGAGAAACATTTATTATATACATATGTAATCCATATTTATATTTATTATACAATTTTTAACATATAGTTTACTTGTAGAGCTGCCCTCCCATAATCCAGTATTGGTTGAGTTTCAAAGCCTGTCAGCAGGTGACAGAACTTTCATTTAATTTCAGGTCGCCTTGGCAACGGATTTGGTACCGGATTTGGGCACGTAGCCATCCCACCCCGTTGCTGCACCTGCTGTCATCTCTCCTACCACGACACCATCTACATTTAGCATGTGTGTTTGTGTGTGTTTGTTTTCTTTGCTTGCTAAGTCCTTTATTTATATAAATAGTTGAGTCACTTAAGGGGATTAATGTTGAAATTAGTTGATGCCAGTGTATGTATGTACGTAAGTATGTTGTGGCTGCTTGCCGACAGTTTGCCATGACAAATCAGTTGGGACTCTGGCTGAATATTCGATATGACAGTCACCGTATAACAGCTTAATTCATAATTCTTAATCTATGAAGTCTGCCAGCTGCAAGAGATTTTCATAACTTTTTTACAATATTCTTTGTTAAGAGATAAATGGTTTGCAGACGGAAATAAATTACATATTTCATAAGGGATTCACAATGGAATTATCCAATCTTACTGCACTGAGAAATCTACTCAACCACAGAAACTTTTGGTAAGTATTCAAATAAATGAAACTGTCTTTGTTTGGGTTAAGCTCTCTTACTCTTTTTATTGTTGATATTTTAATCTATTACACTTCCTTCTAACTTATTGCGTCATTTAATTAGCACCCACTACACAAAGAGCGATCAAAATATTATCTCTTAGCGCTCTCAATTCTCTGGAAGCAAATTTCTAAGAGCGCTCTCATTTTGTTTATCGCTCATGCTGATAATAACAAACTTAATCCTTTTGTATTTTGGCTATCATGAGCATAAATATGTTTGAATTTACTCGTAGATATAATAAAATATTCATATTTTTCTTATTCTTTATAGTATCACAACTTATTTAGTTATTTAAGTGAAAATGAAATGTTTGTGTTTGTTGCTCGCTGTACTTGTTAATTGCTGCTCACTCTCTCTCTCTCTCTCTCTCTCTCTCTCTCGCTCTTTCGCAATATTGTTCTCTTTTGCTTGCTTATCACGTGCTCGACTGCTCTTCTCTTTTTTCATTCTCTCACTAACACAGTCACAGTCTTTGCCGGTGCTCGCTGAGAGCAAGCAGCTCATTGGTTCAGTGGTGTTTCAGTGCTCAGCTGAGTAAGTCGCCAGCGGAATTGTGATAGCTGAATCTGTGGCGCTGCATCCCCGCGATATTCTCTCCTTAACCAAACTCCATGCAACGCAATGGCGCTCGTGGAACTGTTCTTTCTGCTCAGCTTTCTCGGCGCATTGCTCTTCAGATGGTCCAAATCGAGTTTTGGTTACTTTCGGAGCCGGGGCGTGGCTCATGAGCGCCCCCTGCCGTTGCTCGGCAATGTGCCGGCATCGATGATGTTCGGACGAGGCTCCTACGTGCGGCACACCATCGAACTGCATCAGCGTCTGAAGGCGCACAAGGTTTATGGCGTCTATAATTTGAGGGATCCGCTCTATTATCTGGCCGATCCGGAGCTGATACGCCTGGTGGGCATCAAGCACTTTGACATCTTCACCAATCATCGCCAGGGCATTGGCGATGAGCACGACACGGGTGATAGCTCGGTGTTATCCAAATCTCTGCTGTCTCTGCGAGATCGTCGCTGGAAACAGATGCGCAACACATTAACGCCCACATTCACCGGTGTTAAAATACGTCTCATGTTCGACCTGATCCAGGCATGCAATGTGGAGGCAGTGCGCTATGTGAAGAAGCTTCAGCTTCAGTCAACAACGGATGGCGCTGGAGTCGAACTGGAGCTCAAAGAGTTCTTTACGCGCTACACCAACGATGTGATTGCGACGACCGCCTTTGGCATAGGGGTGAACAGCTTTGTGGATGAGCAGAATGAATTCTTCATGCTCGGACAGCGTGTCTCGCAGTTCAGTTTCTGGGGTGGTATCAAGGTGCTGCTTTACATAATACTGCCACGGCTGATGAAGGTAAATATATATACTGAAGGTGTACCTATATATGCATATATATCTATCCCCGATATTCCATTTATTATTTAGGCTCTGCGTGTGTCCGCCATCGATCTCAATAACGTGGCCTATTTCAGGCGTTTGGTTTTTGGCGCCATGCAACAGCGGCGGGATTTGGAAATTGTGCGGCCAGACATGATACAGCAGCTAATGGAGGCGCAACGCCTGTTCAGGGAGCAAGAGCAGCAGGGACAGACGACAGTGGATGGCGCTCAGTTCAATGATGAGGATTTGCTGGCGCAGTGTCTGCTCTTCTTTTCAGCCGGCTTTGAAACGGTCTCCACCTGCCTTAGCTTCACTAGCTATGAGCTGGCGATAAATCCAGCGGTGCAGCAGACACTATACGAGGAGATTATGGACGTGGAACAGCAGCTGGACGGTAAACCACTGGACTACGACAGCCTGATGGGCATGCAGTACTTGGATTGCATCATCTCCGAGTCACTGCGCAAATGGCCGCCAGCAATTGTCATTGATCGGATGTGCGGCGCCGACTTTGAGCTGCGCGACGATGCTGGAGAGCTGCTGTTGAAGCTGAGCAAGGATGATCTAGTGCACATACCAATTGTGGCCCTGCACTACGATCCGGATAACTTTGAACAACCCGAAGAGTTCCGACCCGAGCGCTTCGATGAGGAGCACAAGCATCAGATTCGACCCTTCACATATCTGCCCTTTGGCTTGGGTCAGCGCATGTGCATCGGCAATCGCATGGCCCTCATGGAGGTCAAGGCGATGATCTACCAGCTGGTGCTGCACTTCAGATTGCTGCCCACCGAGCGCACCCCCCTCGACATGATGGCCAGCATTGAGGGCTTTCGCATGGAGCCGCGAGAGCGCTTCTGGTGCCGCTTCGAGCCCAGGCACTGAATTTTAAATAAGAACTTTATCAACTAATGCTCAATAAAAGCACAGATACTTATAACTTTAAGTGAGCTTTTACAAGTTAGTTTAGTTAAAGCTTCATCCGATTTTTTAGACAGCCGTTGATCTTTCACAGCTTGGCAAGAGCTTATTTGTCTACCGAGTCTCAGCTTGCGCTTTAAGCGAATTTTCAGAGCGATTGGCAGTCAATTTCAGAGCTTTAAGTACGCTTAATGTAAGCACTTAATAAATATAAGACCGCTCGAAGCTTTAATATGTTTTCAAAGCTAGTGTCATTCATTCAGAAAATTATGCAAAAATATAAAAATAAAATCGAGAAGCGAAAGCCCGGAAAATCAGGCAATTTATTATGTTTGTTGTTGTTGTTGCTGTTGTTGTTGCTTTTCGCGATGAAAAGCTGACAAATTTGCCGCGGCAATGTTTCACATGCTAGGTGGCAAGAGCGACAGGCCACGTCATAACACTGTCAGTACTTGATAGCCGCACAATATATATATATATATATACATACATATAGATATGTATGAATGACTGGGCGACTGTGGTTACAACAACATAAAAGCCACAACAGAAACAAGAGACGTGTAAAATGAAATCACACGCGGAGCAACATACGAGCAACAATATAATGTGTGGGGAGCAAAGTGTGCAAGGAGTGCAGGGAGTTGGTACACACACACACACACACACACACAACCACACAGCAGCAGCATGTTGAGCTGCAGGACATGGGACACAAAGGCACATTAAGGATTATTTATTGGACGTTATTTTTCAGGCGGCATTAAAATTTTTTGTACAATATGAATTATATTTCACTTGTGTCATAAACCGCGTAAAAAATGTGATGCCACCAGCCACCCAAGCATTGTGGGTGGGGAACTTAATATATATATATATATATATATATATATATATATATATATATATATATATAAACTGCTTCACGTCTGTTAGATATTAAATATTTTGACGCACTCCTCTTAAAATTGAAGCAAGCAACTAAATGTGTTTTTGTGACGCATTCTCAACTTTTAAATCAAAGCACATCCCTGTTAGGCAGTGCCATAAAACTTAAGGAAATGGCACTTATTTTAAGTTTTTAATACTTCCCATTTAAGATAGAAAGTTGTTCGTATCAACTCCCTACTGTAATTTGTTGCATTAACTGTCCACGGATTCTCCTGGGGTCATTGGGGTCCGTGCGTGGGGTCATTAAAGAGTCATATAACGCGATAAAAGTTGCAATTAGCTTATATACATTCATACATACGAACACGCTGTTGTTTACACAAAGTAATACACGTAATTAACCGCATATTTGAGTTTGGTCCGGTGGCTCATAAAACTTTCAACGTGCTTCAAATTAGTGGCACAGTTTTTTATTGGCAACCTTTGCGAGCAGTTATGCTTGTTGTTTGTTCTTTTTATAGCCAGCAGCAGCAACAGTAACAAGAGCAGTATGTTAATATCCTAAAGGGCCAAGTGAAGGAGCCTTGGACATCAGCACATGTAGGTCGCACTTGCAGCAAGGACCAGCTGCTGCAAGGATAACTCAAAACTCACTTGGCTTTTCTGTGGTATTTTGATGTGCAAAGTTGCTACGCTTAAAGTCAACGCGTCGTATGCGTAATCTCTTCCAGTGTAAGCGTAAACATCATAAAACTGTGAGACACGACAGCAACAACAACAAGAACAACAATAATAACAACAATCTATTTCGGCAGTGTTTACAAAATGCTTATCAATCAATTCTGGCAAGCAGCCTAGACAAAGGGGGATGAACAAAGGCTTGCGGGTGATGTGTAAGGATGTGTTCTATCTGACAGAGGTCATAAAGAAAACTTTGGCGCCGCAACCGCCAGACACCAAGCGTATACCCCAACCAACCCCCTCCCCCCAACTCACAATCCAACTCCAACCCTTGACGCCCGCATGGCGCAAAAAATAAGAACTTGGCTCGCTCTCTCCTTTGGTACAACTACAATAAAAATTGCCAAAGTCAGCTGCGTCGGCGGCAGCGTCGGCAGCGTCGGCGGTGGCTGTAGCTGCGGGTGCCGACAGGACGATACAATGATAATGCCAAGCATAATAACAGCAAAACGGCGTCATCACAACAAGAACAAGAACAGAGCAACAATAAAGAATGCGTGGGTGGAGCGAGGAGGAGAGGAGGTGAGGATGTAGAGAGGGCCAAAAAGGGAAAAGCAAAAAGCGAAAAACGCTCAACGCTCAATGCTCGAGACACTAACAATTCGGGCACAATGGGAATTGTCGCAGATTCCAGCGAGTCGCCTTCGCCTTCGCCTTCGCCTTCGTCCGTATGCGATGTGTTCGCGATAAACACGAAGTGATAACATTTGCTATATGCGTATGAGTCTCTGTGTGTGTGTGTGTCAATTTGTGTGTCTGTGTCAGAGTGTGTGTGTTTTTTGGGGGCGTGCTGCAGCAAAGATGAGCGCGTGATCAAGGTTTGCAATTGTGAATGGCAGCAGAAATAAATAATCAAAATAAACAACATACTTTAATCGGCAAATAGGCAGATGGATTTAACAAAATAAATATTATTATAGACTCTGTGTACAATTTAATGTAAGCAATTCAAATACGATTTTCGAAATAAATCTCTTGTGTACAAATTAAAGAAAAACAACTATCTCTTCTACTCTACTGACAACCAGTCACTCTTCCAATCCTCCTATTCCATTCCACACCAGTTACCTTAACCTGCACTCAAGTCACTCTTACTCCATCACCAATTTAACACTATCCGAACTGGTTCATTCAAATAACAGTAATAAGTACTTAAGCTCAATCAATCAATCACAATATTTGATAAGACTGCATCTTTATTTTTAAAATAAAATGGTCACTTTTAAGTAACACTCAACAAAAGAACTAATTAAATAGCGTCTTTTAAAGCGCCATAAAAGTAATATATTATCAATATTGTTGCTGTAAGCATTTGTTTGTTAAGCATAATATGTTAATAAGGCGTGCTTCAATTTACGCAAATCTTTTCCATTTCCGTTTAAGTTTTCATATTCGATACATGTCTCCCTTTTGTATACCACTCTCATCTCTAGCAACTGTCTCAGTTTTCACTTGCTCAGAAAACATGTTTTTCTTTTTGTATGCGTCGCTTTAAGCATGTTATTTGGCTTGAAGAACTTTGTAGTTTCCTCTGCTCGGCTGCTTGTTATATAAATTGTGTGCGATTCTTGTTAGCGTCTCTTTAAGTTTCACATTCAATAGGCGGCAGGCACAAAAAGCATACACATATCCAATATATATATATATATATATATGTATATATATACCCAGACATAAGAGCAATAAACTGAGGTAGGAGCATAATTTGAAGTATCCATGAAGCGCAAGTTTCTTCACAAGTTTTCTTCTTATGTTTTCTTTTCTCAACTTGTGACGTGGGCGTTGAACAGAATCAACATAATTTTATTTCGTTGGGGTTTCTATTTAATGCAAACACATTTAAAATTGCGCCAGCTGCTGTTTGACAAATTCTTTTGAATGCAGTTTTACATTCAGATTGTGGTTTTGACTGATTTATTGCGGCTTACTGCATGCACCAGCTGCAGTTGTAAATCAAAAAAACAAACGCTATCAATGGAATGGCTCACTAGCAGACACCCTGTATTAAGCTTAAGTTACTTTTAGAGACGATATGCTTTCAGATATTCTAGACAAATATGACCATTCTTCATTTCTGCTGCACTTAATCAAGTTTGAGTTGTATTTGTATGTTTACCACTGTGATCTACCTGCCTGAATGTGTAGCATACCCTATTGCTGTATAGCTCTGAGCAGAGGGTATAATTGTTATTCCCTAATGCACATTGAGCCAGGCCGAGCATAAATTTGTTGATGTGTCTCTGTGTCTGACTGTCATTGTCATACGATAAAGTGTTCCACTGCTGCTGTTGTTGCAAAGCATAAATCCTTTTCGCCCAACCATGATGATGACTGTTATCTTGCTGGTTATGCAGAGGGGGTAGGGGTAGTTTGCATGTGCCACATATTTGTGTGACATTTTTTGGTTGCCTTAGTTGCTCACAGTTACGTGGCGCGTATGTGGCGTGTGTGGCATATGTGGCATGTGGCACTCAGGTAGCAACATTTAATATTTCTATTTTCGCAGTCCTAAGCTGCCTTAATGCCACCTGCAGCAGCTGTTGTGGCACACACATTTATGCATCAACTATTTCTGCTGCCAGCTGCCTGCTGCTGTCCCGTTATGCTGTTGTGCGCAGGATGCGGGCTGCGTGGTATTGTGTGTGATTTGTGTGTGGCCCGCGGCAATTTGCCAGGCTAACTGGCAAACTGGCAAACTGTCAAACAGGCAAAATGCATTTTGTGCCACGGTTTCGCTTACAGCGCAGCCGCAAAATATGCAACAAATATGGCAGCAAATGCTTTTAACTGCGGGCAGCGCATGAGTAACGGTGCGTGGCATAAAAATCTATCTGTCTATCTATATATATATATATGTAAACTATATACGTATTGGCTTTTAATTGAACAGTGGCTTTCAAATTGTATTTTTCATTTCTCCATGGATATAAATGCATCTAAATATTATTCGGCGTATGCCAGCAAAGAGCTTGGGATGCGTTTTAGCTGAGATGACATTGTTACATAATAATTTGAGCTATGGGAAAATATTATATAGGTAATAGATTATTAGTACTAACAATGCATATCTTTTAGTTTTATTTCCTTTATTTGCCTAGAATGTTCTTCATTATCTGTTCAGGCAGGCAGAACTGATTGCTTAAACGATTTCGATATTAACCAGAATACAATTTCTCATTTATTTTTTAGATGTTTTACCCATTTTTTTGTTTTAACTTTTAATGCGTTTTCTTGATGATCTGTGCTGTTTTTGTAATCAACGGATGGTTAAACAGATTTTCTAAATGATTTCGATTTTAAATTTAATCTATTGACTTCTTTTTTGGGATAATTGAGTTTTTACCAGTGCTCTGCCATGAAAAAGTTGTGAGCTGCATACTTTGCCTAACGCAC